CCACATTTGAGGCTAATTTGCAGGCAACAGGGGGTTTAAAGTCTTGTCTTAAGACGCCTCCATGTGTAGCCTGGAATCAAACCACCTCTATTCTATATGAATAATAAAGATAATCTTTTTTAGTCATGTAGCACTCTGAAACATTCCTTTTATTACTACTTTGTTTTCCCCTTTTTGTTTAACATAAAGGATGATATCCTTTTAAATAAATGTGCACTCTGCTAACAATATAATAATAAGCATGTAATTAAGGTCTGTTATATTTCATCATGAAAACATTATGTGGGGCAGGCTATTGAGTGGTCAGCGGTTTGATCCCCAGCCTCATCGTGAGGGCAAAGCACTGAACCCAGAATTGACCTTTATGTGCTCACTGGTGTGCAACAGTACAAGAAAAGCACTGCTTATTTTTTAAAGAGTTCATATATAATTTAAAAAGCAGAGCACTGTATAAGTGAATGGGAAACACGTTTTAAAACACCTTTTTGAAACCCAACAGAGTTTAAACGCTGCTATATTAGTGCAGGACTACCTTTCACATTTTAAACTTGATGGAGATAAAGAAAATAGATCAATGGTGAGATCTTAAAAATGAAAATAATTTGCTTGTATTCTTTTTTTGTTGTTTTTTTTGTTGTTTTTTTTCTTTCAGAAGGTCCAGCATCTTTATGAGGTTAATGATGGGAAACACAAAAGGAAAAACGATTTAACCTTCACACAGACAAACTGACTAAATAGCAAGCTTTTGAAATGAATTCACATACTCTGGAAGCCAGTGCAGCTCAAATGGGAGCCCTGTGCTGTGGTGACAGTTCTGAGCAAGTGGTGGACTTGTGCTGTCCATGAGGGATCATTATTCCATCAAGCAGTTAGATCCTCATCTCAAATACTTTCAATTAGCTTCCATTTGATGTCAAATGTATTTTATGTGACATATCGTGTCGGTTGGTGTTCTGCGGTCAGAGAGAAAGCTGTCCTTCATATGTCCACATCCACAGCATGAGAAACGGCAGACTGGCATCCCTGCCATCACTTCCTGCTGCTCATCACTGTGCATGTGTGTGGTGAGTGTGTGTCGTGCATGTCACTTGGTAGAGTTCAAACAAAGTCATGAGGACATTTTGGATGAACACTGGGCATCATCCACAGCGTGGGCCGTGACACTGGAGTTCTTCTGGAAGTGGGAGCCTTCAGCAAATGTTTGGTTTATATTTAAGTCAAGGATATTTATTTTACCGATGTTGCTTCAAAAAGTTCTCAAGTGAACGCTCGCTCTGCCAGTGAGGCTGGGAATATATTCCCATTAAAGTAACCTCTAATTTTCTTTTCATTATTAAATTGCAATTGCAGTAGCTGCAGTTTTTTATGATCAGTAATAGAAAAAAAAAGATTTTTGCTCGTTTCACTGCACAAATCAAGTGAAACACTTCGGAAATCCTTGAGATGGGCTGTTAGACCAGGCAGATCTTCATTAAAGACAGTCAGTGGCTGTTAACTATTGAGTATTCCTCAAAAAGACACTTTTCAAAGCAAATAGTCTTTTAGTTTTTGAGTGGTTTTCTTTTTGTGAGGATGTTCTTCACATTTTTTAGCTATAGCTTTATTATTCGTGTGTAAGAAAGTCATCTGTTTGTGTGTTTTTAATAAGCAGAGGTTCATTCACTTTGAACTTGGCAACCCCAAAATCATTTTATGGTCCTTTGTTTGCCAAGATACTGCAATATGTGGAACTTAGAAAAAAACTTAAAAAAAAAAATTCTTTAGGTAAAAGAATGACATTTTTTGCTTTGTGTAAACATAGGTATCCTGAATAATGTTTTGCATATAGGGCTAAAAAATACAAATCAGAAATGTATTTTATGTCTTAAATGTTTGGCACATTCTGATGAGTGCCATCCATTTAATCACTTTTATCTCAACAACCTCCAGTTCAAGGTTTGGTCCACCTAATTAAAGCTCAAGGACACATTTAACAAGGAAATCTTCCCCTGTTCAGATTTCTCATTGCATAGCAATAGCAGCATGTTACAATAACAGCTGAGCAGGGGAGACCAAAAATGAATTCAGAGACTCTTTGTTCATAATCCCTGGTGGTTTGTCTCGGCACTTTTGTTTTCCGTAGCACAGCAACTGCTATGACAAGCGTGAAGATGAAGCAGGACATTTGCTAATGGATCAGAGGTGTTGGGAGTAACCCCCCCCCCCATTTGAGAGGTGCCAGGCTGACTCACATCCTATTAGGAGGCCTCAAACTGGTAACTTGCCAAAGTAAGCAGTTACACATTACAGATTACTTGAATAAATATGTAGTCAGGCTTGTCAGAGTGGGTTAGGACGTCATGTGTTGTGAGATGTCAGCCACAGAACTGTGATTCTGCAGCGCTGATGGATCAACACTTCCTCCACTAAGGAGACAGTGTGTGACAGCAAACACTGTCAGAGCTGTTTCTGCAACCATACTCTTATGTATTAAACCTTAAACGGTAGAAAAATATCAAAGATGAATAATATTGGCTTTTGCTCTGTTCATCTTAAGCTTTTCTTGCATTGTTTTAAACAAACTAGCGACCATGTCTGCCACATGCAGTAGTTTTTATCCAGAGCCTCACATACCTGAAAATATTACCTACTACAAAGTGAAAAGTATCAAAGATAAGACAGCAATGATTCCACTTTGTCTTTTAATGGATTTTTTATCCATAATTGTTTGCCTTAATTCTGGTTGTCCTAAAATATAACCTTTTCTGTTAATTGCCTTCTCAGACACATAACCCTTTAGTCTCCTGGAGATTAGCCTGTTCAGAAATCAGTGGTGGGCCGTCAGGGCCTGCAAGGCCTTCTCTGAAGGCCTAAGAAAATATCTGAATCACAGACTGATGTTAATTATATTTTGTCCATAAAAAAGGTATTAAATATCTCTAAATAGTCTGTCAGCTTCCTTTCATAGCTTCTCCCCTGGTTGCGCTGCTTCCAGACATGTATTTTCATATAAAAGCATTTAACCAATCACATTTCAGACATCCTTTGTCGCTAGGCAGGGTCAAAGTCAAAGATGTCTGCCTGGAGGCCTTCACAATCCGTTCTGCAGGCCCCCCCCCACAGAAAATACATGTGGAGTACACTGTTGCTTCAACCAATCAGATGTTAGGTTGGTGATGCCAGGGCCTGCGCGAAGGCCCCGGAAATGCCACCGTACCCACACCCGCTGATTGGATAGTCAGATATCCAATCAGGGCAAAGCTAGCAAACAAACCGAAATATAGTTGTGTTGGTGTAATAGCTATTTTATTATTTCGTGGCGGATTTACTGTCAAGACCATTTTCAAAACGGACTTTTCAAGAAAAGTAAGTGAGTAAAATGTTGTTTTTTTCCTAAATGGTATTGCGAGTTTATGAGGACATTATTGATGTTTTTGTAGCTGCAGGAGTAGAAGGTGCACCCCTGATATTTAGACTGTATTTTAGGATTGTCCCGATCCGATATTTGGATCGTATCGGCCGGCATGAGAAAATGCCAATCGAGACTCCAGATACATTTTTTTTTAAAGTCCGATCCCACCCGAGCATTAGCATTAGCATTAGCATCTCCTAACCCACAGGTCTGTGTAAACTTTAGTTGTTATAAGAGTAAATCCCTGTTCAACATGAGTCTGACAACTAAGTAAGTAGAAAAAAAAAATCAACTTTAATACAAAAAGCTGGATCGGGACATCCCTACTGTATTTCTACATATTAAGATGATTTCTATAACCATAAAATAGTTATTGAGGGGTGAATTGATTCAGACGGAGTACTACTGAAGGCCTAGGTGTAAAATGCACGGCCCGCCACTGTCAGAAATTAATTAAAGTTACTTAAGAAACCTAATGATATGGTCCTCATGGTGCTGTACAGAATTATGAAAGACAGGTTGTCAAAGTCAGGTAGGGGGTGGCGTCTGTAATTGAACCTCATGACAAAACAAAACCAAACTGTAGGAGTCTTGATGCCCACTTGCTCGAAAAGGTAAGACAATAATGTCTTTTTTCACTGGCTTGAAGTTGATTGTAGAGGGATGATTTTCTCCTCTGAAAGTCGCTGTTTATAGTTATAAACCTGCTCTGAATGATTCAGCCTGACCTTTCATAAATACATTATGTGAACATGACTCCTTAACAGAGCACTAAAAGGTGGAGGCACATAATGTGTTATAATTACAGGCTGGTGTCTCAGAGAGGGAAAAGCCTCTGTCCTTGGAAACCAGGTCGACGAGTCCCTACCACCTACAGACATGAAAGGATTTTGGATGCATTTTATTGAAAGGAAAGCAGAAATCGTGCATTACGTCAGGTAAAATAAGGAGAGGCCAAACCAAAGAGCAGCTAAAGAAAAAAGCAGCCACTGCCTGAGACACAGGGCACAGATATGAATCCTACCCGGATGTCACAGTCTTAAAACATGTCACATTAGACCCTTCCACGTTGTCCTCATAGTTGACTACGATATAATTTGGTGAGGTAAACTGAGTGTAGACCACAATGACTAGAGTAGTTTGTGCATCTGAAAGTGACTTTCCATTAGCATTGTTTCCTTTTCGCGATGTGCCGGCACAATTCAAAGAGGTGTCAGAGAGGTAGTACTTATCTGTGGGATAAAGTTAATTACATTGTACAGAGCATTTTAGTATCGTTCAACTCTTTGGATTGTACAAGTGTCGTCCGTAGCTGGAGCAGGCTGCTATTTGCAGCTAACGTGCTGTGATACACCGACTCCCCAAATCTCCCCAGCACCACATCACGGGCTCCTAAAGTGGACTGTTGACACATTTATGATCCAATGATGCTCAGCTTCTTTGCCTTCCTGCTGACAAAGGGAACAACAGCTTTTTGTTAGTATTAGTGGAATCTGCAACATTCAGAACTTCTGTCTATTCAGCATATTTTACTAATCAGGCACTTCCAAGTCCCTTAGAGACCAAGGGAAACCTTCTAAATATGCCATTTGCTCTTCTCATTTCTCAGACGTACAACTGGGGCAGGGTGTCTCTAATGGAAGAGAGGTGTTCGCAATATCCCTCTGGATATTAAAACTGTCACGACTAAAAAAATCCTTTCATATATTAATGGTGAACAGCTGACAGTCTTGTCCCCTGGAGACATCCTTTGCTTCCTGACCTACCTTTTGAAGAATCAGATGAGGTAATGTCATGTTTTAGTGGAAGATGCTTGACGTTTAACGAAGGGAGACATTGAAGTGGTCTCAATAGTTTGTGGCTGTCACTGTGATAGAGATCTTCTTATTATGTCCTTAGCCGTGAAACCCAAAAGGCCAATGTAGCATTAAATAGGAAAGTAGAACTCTGTTTAAGTGGCTGCAGTGGTTAACACTGCTGCCGCCCACTGACCTTAAACATGGGCTATTGTTCTTTTTGCCTTCCTGCCCAGCATCACACTTTCACTCAGTTGGGCACACTTTGCTAAAATGATTTACATTTTATTAGTTTTGCTTTATTGATATCACAAAGCTCCAAATATTAGGTTAAATGAAACCTGCCGGCTGTTAAAATCGGCATCATTATCAGAGATCTGCTGCGTTGTTTCATCATTATCAGAGATCTGCTGCGTTGTTTTTCAGATTGGAGTCTTTAACGTTTCTGTTTGGGCGTCAGTTCCCACCGGATGAGAAGGCGCGATTACTCACTCCGGCTGGGAAATGAGGCAGAGGAGGTTTTTAGGGGGAAGAGGCAGCAGCAAGAGTGAACCTACAAATAACTGTCTTAAAACAGAGCTCTACATTGTCGTTTGGGGAGGGAATGTGTATCTGTAAGAATCTATATCTCCTTCTAAGATGGAAGTGTTAGACACTTTGATTTCAAAAGCATGTATCTGTATTTGTGGTGTGGGTGGGTGTTTTTTTTTTTTTTTTTTATTGCCAGGTTAGGGTAGAGGGGGGACCCCCCCCCCCCCCCCCCATGTTGTGCCAGCTGGTGCATTTTTCGAGTCTAGCTGATCAACTCATAAGAGGACACAAAGGTCAAGCACATGTACCCACTGACTGTGATGGCCAGATGTCCCAAATAAATCCACAGTCCTGGTTTTAAAGGAGATTTTAATGCCATGCAAGCTGTTTGAGTATAAAAAAGTACAGATGGCATATAGCTGTGATGCTTTCACTGCCTGTTGCCTCAAAAGCAGCATCCATGCTTTGATTTTATTCATGTCCACATTAGGTTTCAAGTCATCTCTTCTGTTTACTTCCCTCTCTGTGATCATATGAAGGTAGTTTAAAACTAATGATGTTTACATGAGTATGCTGGTTATCTGACACTTACCATGGCTTTGATCACAGTGTAGACAGGCCATACAAATGAAACACAAAGAGATCCAGTCCTGCATGTTTCTACATGCATGATGAACGTTAATGCAGCGTTATATTCCAGAGCACGCCCCCAATGGTGGAACAAAGTTGATGTTCGAATAGCTCAAACAGAACGTGTCGCGTAACTAATCATGTAGGTTGAAAAAAAAAGTTTTTATAGTTTATTAAGTATTCAGATTTGTTTTAGGTTTGCACTTCCTAAAGGCTCTTAAAGAAACATGTCATCACAGACGGATGATTTTTGTTATTCCATTACCCAGTATAACAGTTTTTTTGTTAAAGTTGTTTCCTGCTGCAGTTCAGTCACTGCTGCAGAGCTTAATGTTAATGTCAATGTTCTATTCCTTTAATAACATCTCCAAGCAGAGTCTGTCTTGAAATGGAGTATTAAAGAGGAAGAACTGATATGCTGTCTTCATGCATTTAAGTATACCTGTTCAAAGCACAAACTTGATTTTTTCCCCACAGTGGCTCTGGCTAGTTAAATCAGCTATCTGTGGGCGGCTCTCTAGTCCGAAGGACATTATTTCTTGTGCATACTCCCTCCATTTTTTGCCCTAGATACGAGTTTAGTGTTATTTTAGTGTTTTTTTAATACTCTTTTGGTCTGTGTTGCACTTTGAGCTTGACCACTGGCTTCTGTCCTTCTGTTTTAACTGAAGTGCACCTTTAGGAGTAAACTGCACTTTTTGTCCCGTACATGTTTTGTTTGACCTTTACATACAAAATTTGACATACAAAACGAACACTTTGTTCGGGATAGTGCCCAGTGCAGTGCTTCCTTTATGTGCAGCTGAAACAACTGTTATTGAATTCTTCAAGATTGCATCAAAGACAATAAGTTTCTAAGTTTCTATGCCAAAATCACTTCAAAAACCAATATTAAACCAATGGCAGGGGTGGGGAAAAATACCATTTATAACTATTTTTGCAGCAAAGCAACAGCCTAAGACCCATTTAAAAGATTACTTTTTTTGGGTGAGAATTTGGCAGATTAGTTATTTTGCCCTAGTGGGCACTAATTCCGGCTAAGTTATGTGGACATGGTCTGGGCCATGCCAACTGGCATCAGTGGGTTTGTCTATTTTTTGTTCATTAGTTTTATTTTCTTCACAAATAAATCAAATTAGATTTATGTTTAACAATTTTTAAATGTTCTTTTTGGGAAATAATATCTGCTGGATTGAGATACATGAACATCAGCAAAACCCCTGAAATATTTTCTGAGAGTCTTGTTTAAAGTTAAGTTAAACAAGAAGTCAAAGTGTATCCACAGCACAAACAGATTTGCTACTTGCTATGTCCTTTACATGACTGAATGTGCTGTGTTTAATCCCAAACCTACATCTGTACCAGCACACTGTGAGAACAGTGGAGACATTTTCCCTGAGAGTTTCTGTAGCTATATCCACCAAATAGTTTTGAAGTGAATAAAACAGCTTAACTACAAAAGTAAAAAAGGACTTTCTGCATACTGGGCACATTCACGATAAAGTGATGGACCGAAATAGAACGATTATGATGACGAGCAACAGAAAGAGGTTGTGGTTTGGTGTTCTTTTTACTTCAGAGTTTGATGTCTGGCCTCTGCATACGTAGTTTACATATGGGAAGATAGCCATGCATATTCAAACAGCAACATGTGTGCACGCAGTGTATGGAGCTTTGTGTCGAAGACAATTGATAATCTCTAAAGCTAGTATGCAAGAACCTCGTGGACACAACTATCAATGTAATTTACTTTAATTAGTACTACTAATAGACATTTTGAAATGTAACCTGCAGAGCTTCTGTCTCAGTGACAGTGTATATGTTTTTTTTTAGCAAATATGTCTGTGTATCCATAGCACCTGGATCCTCTCTGCCTTTCCAGCTGTCTTGCATAGAACTAAATGGGCATTTAACCTCACTGTCTTCTGTGAAAGGCATGCAGGGTGAGCACAAATGCTAATATTAGATAGAGCCATAGGAGGAAATATGTTCCGGGTTTGTCAATTAGCTCAAGCCTTTACACATTTCTGTCTCCTTCTTTTAATCATTGTAACTGTTGGAGGACGCATTCATGTTGCAAACATTCATTTAGAGGTGCTACTTTCTCAGGTTCATTACACACCAATCATTTCTATTTTTGCTGTGGAAAATGTGATTGAGAGAGTCAAAGAGGTGGAACGGGTAGTCTTTTTTCATGCTTTCTTTATTCTTTTTCATTTAAGTTTTAGATTAAAGTGTCAAATGCTTTTCTGTAAAAAAGATTTTTCATTATAAAAAGTCAACAAATTATTTCTGAAGATGTGAGTTTCCGTTCATCGATCATATAAGACGAAGGAAAACTGATCAAAAATGAAAAATTCCTGGCAACATCTCTTGACGCTGGTAACTGAAAAACCAAAAAACCAAAATATATTGTTGAAAAAAGAGTTGATCACCTGCCAAAATCTGTCCAGTTTACTAAAACCCTTGCTTATGTGCTCGTGATGAAATAAACGCTGTATAACACTGGAATTAATTTAGATCATTATGAAAGACACTACTTAGAAAGAAAGTCCTAAGTCTAATTTATTTTATTTCCAATGGAGGCAATAAAATAGATTGTCGTTGCTTTTTAAATTAGACTGAATATTTACAGTCACTGATGGAAAATAGCAGCTTCTTAATCACCAACTTTTGACATTTAGATATAATGCAGTTACTATTCATTATCCGCAACAGCAACTGCTTGCAGGTAAAGTGTTTTGAACTTATCTAATAGCAATCAGTTTTTTTTTCCTGGATCTGATCATGTGCATTTTCATTAGATATGCGTGAAAACTATTTTTATTACGAACTGATGGCTCAGGGCCAGGAAATAAAGGGGTCAGAATGGAGTTGTTCGAAAACTTTCTTGATCTAGATGATAATAATTATTTCATTCATTCATCCAGCTTGAGTTCATTCCCCACTAGAATAAATGTGATTCATATAAAATCTTCAATCTTCCCTTTTTCTGTCCATCAGAGACACAAGGTGGATCTGTTCTACAAGGTTCGCCACGTAATGATGGAGCTGATCGACCTGAGAAGGCAGCTTCTGTCTGGCCACCTGACCCAAGACCAGAGCAGAGATGTCAAGAGACACATCACCGTCAGACTGGACTGGGGCAACGAGTGAGAGAACACACCAACATTTCCACTGCATGCATTAATGCACACCAGCACAGTCAAGGCACACTGCATGTCGTCCATGTTTCCAAACTCCGGCACACCTGAAACTTCAAGATTTACATCCTTTATACAATGTTGACATATGTCAACATATGCTGAAAACAAAATATCCTCGTGGAAAAGTCTATTGTTCATGAGTTTTTATCAATATGTGAATGTAGAACTGAAAAGTTCTCTGAGCACCAATTCACCAATACATGAATACAAAGTTTTTAGCTTCAACCAGCTTTTAGCTTTTCTGCGGAAAAACATATTTTTCAGTAGAGATTGAGGGAACAGACCCCAAAACGTCCAACATAATAAGAAGCGGTGTGTATGATAAATACATTATGATATTCTACACCTAAAAAACCTCATTGTACCTTTAGGGTTCCAAAACAGTCAATCAACAAAAAAACATCCATTCAAACGTGTTCGCTTTTCAAAAAAAGCAACGTGCCTCTCAGCACATTTGTAGAATGCTCTCACAGTCATTATGAGCAATGATTTGAGATGTTCCAGCAAATGAGTGCATGTCCAACATGTGAGCTAAATGAGGCAGTTATCCCCTGATATGTCAAAGCTTGAGTGCATTAAGAAGCTTGCACTCAAAGGAGCGTAGGAGGAAAAGTATATCTGTCATTGAAATTAAAACAGAATAGTTACGGCTATGGTCAATAGTTTTTAAGAATAAGGATACAACTGAATAATATAACTCCTAATCATTGCTGCATCTTTCTTGGAACTTTCTGTGGACAGTTGCTGTCTCAAAATAATTTGCAGCTACTTTACTTGTTGTGTCGATCGTGCACAGCTCAGTAAGCCTGTTTCCATCATCCAGGACGAATGATTGTGTCATTCTGATCAAAAACATGCTTTTGAATCCCACGTAAACATGAATCCGAACAAAACTTACATAGATAATGCAGTTTGATGCTTGAAAATTCTCTTTCCTTCACAACCTGAGACATAAATGGCCTTAGTGCGTATTTGTAAGTTTTGAAGAAAACTTTGGGTTTTTGAAAGATTTTGTTTGAACAGGTATTTAGATTCTGACACACAGTTTGTCTTTGAGCCTTTGCTTTCCAGGTGAAATAACTTACCTTCTACTATTTCTCTCTCTTTCAGACACCTGGGTCTTGACTTGGTGCCAAGGAAGGAGTTTGACATGGTTGATGAGGACCAAATTAGTGTTTCAGATCTTTATAAGATGGTAAGACCTTGATTCAGTGATTTAAATCCTATACAACAGATTAATAACCCTTTTCAGAGTACTTAAGACTGTAGTCTCTATCTAATGCCTAATACCACACCCTTTATATCAGGTAAAGTGCAGAGTAAGGAAATATGCATTATTTATTTCTTCTAATTCCATGGCCCAAGAAGAACCTGGAGACCCATAAGAAGCCAATCAGAATAGATATACATAAATAATTAAATGTCTGTAGCTTCTCAAACAGGCAGCTGGTAGATGAGTCAGTCTGTGCTATAAAGATGGATACACTCAAATAAGAAGCTTCAGGGAAATAACATTCCACAAATCCATTTTATATAACTACTCTGTCTTTAATACGATCAGTCAAAAAGGTTATCATGCCAGCTCTTTTCCAACATCCAGGTTAAACCATAGAACATGAACATTTTCCTCTGTCCGATTACAGAGAGCCACAGATGGAAATGAAACTTTTCTTATTTTCTGATGCTCATATCATTAAGTGTTGTAAATTTCTAGGGTGGGAGAAATGTTTCAGCTTTTTCATCAAGCAAAAGATGAAGATTGATGTTTGCATTGTGGTTAAAATAATTTCACTGTGTTTTGTAATGTCTCAGTTGAGGCTTGTTTTTAGGGTAATCTGTGATAACTTCTTGTTTTATGAGATGTTCTATAGGTGAAATTCAAAGAAAAGCATTTCTGTTGCTGTATATAGTTGTTGTGTTTAATTTGTTTTGGTAGGTGATGTTGTTGCAATAATTTACATTAGTGCTCTTGGGCTAAAAAAATACCCAGTTGGTGGATTGGAGTTTTCATTTGAATTCGAATAAAAATGCCTTTTTTGTGACAAATCTATCTTTTAAAATGCTGTTATTAAAGTCAGTGTCTGTCAATTGTAACAGAAAGTTAGTCACAGCGTTTACAAGCCAGAAAACTCAGCAGCTGACAAAGCAGCCAGCCATGGAGTGATGTCATTGCATTTCTTCAGATGTCCCTCTGAAAAGTAAATGAAGAACTAAGCAGTCTAAATCTTCTACACCCACTGTTCATTAAACAAAAACAAACAAGGATTCGAAAGATCTCACTGGAGTTTTGATGCTCAGAATGTACTTTGATTTTCTTTCCTCCTGGCCTTTCAACCGTTTTTCCTGCTATTCCCCTGCTCATCTTACTCTGAAACCCACCTGAAACCTTCATTTGATAGGTTTTAACTTGCAGCAACTCATTCCCCCTGGAAACAGCTACACAATTTCCTCCTTTTTTATTTGTTTTACTATATTTTCTCCTCCCTCTGAAATATTCAGCCACTCCCCAACCAACATTTGCCTTAATCACACTATAAATTTAGTGCATCTCCCATCCCAGAGCAGAGTTTACATTAACATGAATAATAACAGTCCTGATAGGTTTGTCTGCTGGGGGCTTTAATACAACTTTGTTTCAAAGTTGTATTAAAGCAGCTGTTTGATTGCATCAAACAGCTGTTTGATTGCATCTTCTAATGCTTTTCAGTTCTCAACGATCAGTTCATTATGAAATCTACACAGATTTTGACATTTGAAATAACAAATGGAAAATAGGTTATTGTGGATGCCATTGAATAAGCACTAAGGAAACAGAGGAGCATTTTAACACTTTGTACAAACAGCTATTTCACAACCTGGAGGGACAATCTGTATGAAATGAAACATTAATTGCATACTCTGGTCTTCTGTGTGTGTTTTCCAAGGCATTTTATGCAAAATTGAAAAGGTCATTCGTATTTTTTACTCTTTTCTTTGTTGTCATTTTGTATTGAACCTTTTCTTTTGTCATGACATTAGTGTCAAGTTGGTGTCCTGTTTGGGTAATAATTCCATCAATTAATGACAAAACTTTGTTTTCACAGCATTTTCTATTCAGATTGATAGAAATGTAGATGATAATTCAAAGCCATACTCATATACATCAACAAGGGGTTTCAAAGTTAGGATTTTTGCTTAAATGGTGGGGTAAATATCTTGGGATTTTTTACTCTGCTCTCTGCGTTTCTGATGTTATTTACAAAGTGCATCAGATCTGAAGGGCTGTCTTACCAAATATTTCAATACAAAGAGCATAGAAGCCAATTAATGCCAGTATGAGTTGAAGTGTATTCTCAGCTATCTGCATTCTCCCTGTTGTAGCTCTGTCTGTTGCGTCAGTCCTGCTGAGCTGCACCAGTCAAACACGATTGTAGTAGTTATTCCCTTTTCTTCTGTTGCCTAGTTACTGATCTAAAGACCGGTGTAAGGTTTGTAGATGGTGGAACGAAACCTGATCTACAGAGACAACAAGTAATTATATTTCTGTAGGATTTAGGAGTACAGAAAATCATTTTTAATGATTCTGTTTATTTAAGTGTGTATTTTACTTCAGTCATGGAAACTTAATTATTAATGAATAAACCTAATTAGTTCTTTGGGAAAATGGCATTACTTCAGTGAGAGTGAAATTTGAGCACCAGCAATGAGCAACAACAGGCCTTTTAAGCTATTTATATTCTTTATAAATTACTGCTAAATGAAGTCACCCCATCGCAAAGGCTGTCAAAGTTCTTTAGGAAGTTACACAAAACTAAATAAATGGATTATTTATCCACCCATTTTCGCTACCTGCTTATTCCAAGTTATGTGGCAGGCGGCTGGAGCCTATCCCAGCTGTCATTTGGTAAATAGTGGGGCATCCCACCCGCCAGACCATCACAGTCCACACAGAACAACAACATAGGCTCTGTACTAAGTATTATTTTAGACTTGATAAAGTATCAGATAGGTCAACCCCCAAAAGAAAGGACATTTTTAGATATAATTATAATTGTTACAGGCTAATCCATAAAGAATGGTTGAACCTGTTGCAATAAGGTGCTTTAAAAGTTTGCCCATTTGTATTTGTGTATTGAACTAACAAATATCTTGTGATTGGTTAAACACTGAGAATTTCCAAGGCCATGTTGGCTTAATTCCTGTTTTCCCAAGTTTTTATATATGCTGTGTCCAAAAACATCAAAAAATGTTTTTACTTATTTTGCTGTTTCTCTGTTCACGCACCCATTAAAGGAATTAGAGAGAAAGATGGAGAAAGAGAGAGAGATCGGAGCAAGCAGTTTGTGGGATGTTTTCATCTATTGAGGAAGAAAAATGAAGAAAGGGGAATGGAATAGATTGACGGAGGAACTAAATTAAAAAGAGATTAAGAAGGGAAATAAGGAAAAGAGAGAGGGAAAAGGAGATTAAACTTGTATACAAGTAAAGAAAGTAAACAAAAAGGGTGAGAGGAAATTAACAAGTGAAGAAGAGGATAAAAGTAATGCACGAAGAGAAGAAGCGAGGAGGAAGATTTAGGTAATTTTGGAAAATGTTATTTAAATTTTGTCCCTTTCTGTTTCACAGCATTTGTCCAGCAGACACAGTGTCCAGCAAAGCACCACACAGGTATGTTTCCAGTATGTTTCCATGTTTTCCAGATGTTGACCGTCAGGTTCAGTCAAGCTCTTGGGCTCCCTTTGTATGAAAATGGTTTATTTACTGTGAGTTTCTTTTCTTTGATCAGACTAAACGCCAGATATTTTCAAACCACTGGAAACTGCTGCCCCAGTATTCTGCTTGATAATGGAACTTTTAAGAATTTAGAGTATGATCCTGACATGTTTTACAAAGTTTATATGGACCAAGATTTTAGATCATCCAAATGTTGTACAGCAAAACAGTCTTACTCTAAAAGTGTGTGAATACTTTTACAAAAACTTTTTTAATCATTAAGAAATATTTAAATGGTCTTTGTAGGTGCAGCCAGAGGGAAGTACAAGTCTGTCTCTAATTTTAACAAGTATTTTTCAGTCTGCAGATTCAGGATAGACTTTAACTAAAAAAAAAAAGTCTGCTGCTATTGTTCACATGCTCCACTGAAAATGTATTTTTGTTCATGTCCTCTAAAAAGGTACGTCCTTCATGTGGTTAAATAACTTTCACTGAATTGTATCATGACTGCGATTAGATAAGATTGTCTGTTTAACCACTCACAGAAGATTTATCTGCCCGGCGTATGACCATATTTGGACGCCTCTCTCTATTGCTTCTTATAACCATTAACAAACAGTCAGCATTGATCAACAACAGACCGAAGCATTTGGTGCATCCTTCTATTAGATTTGTCCAAAATGTGGAGTCAAGCCTTTTTTATTTTGCATTTTCAGGGCGAAAATAGCCGACAGCGACACGGGGAGCCCTGCAGGGTTCCAGTCCCTCACCACCTGCTGGTCAACCTGAAGAGCTTCACCTACAACAGCATAGGAGAAGACACCGACATCTTCTTCTGTCTGTACGACCTGAGGGAGGGAAAGACCATCAGGTACGCACATCAGTTGAAAATGACAGTTTACTAACTATAAATTACGGCCTCAAATCAGTTTTGCTTGCAGGATTTCTTCATCATGGTTTGACTTTTCTTTAGTTTTATTGATGCTCACTGAAGTTGTAACTTCTGTTTCCTGTAACCAAATTTGTGGGAGATAAAAATATGCCAGTATAACATTTTGAATATCTAGACATGAGGCAGAAAAAAGAATGTCCATGTGTTTATTCCAAACTTTATGTAAGTGTTATCTTTCTTTGAATCCGTTTCAAAATAATAATTAAGTTAACTTCTTTCAAAGCACACTCTTTTCTTTTACTCTGCAATTATGCGCCCATTATTTTCCCCTGAATCTCGTTGACTCTATATTGTAGAATAGGAATGTCAAGCGGCCACACTGAGCTGCTGTAAATAATACATGACCGTCCCCCCCATCACTCCACCTAATGAAGGCCCATCAATTATGCATTCCAGGAGATGGCACAATGCTAACAGATAAAGACTGGCTAATGCCAGCAATGAGCCTGATTTAAGCCAGCAGCCATGGCCTGAAATGTGTGTTTGTGTGTGTGTGTGTAGGGAAGCCCAGGTGAAAAATTGCTCATTTCAGGAAAAGAGCCGATTGGGTGCTAAAGAAGCATTCCCATCATCTTTTTGTCATGCACAGTTGTAAACCTGCTAAAAGTTTCTGTCGCCTCATACACCACTCACAGAAAATCCAAAAATACCTTTGACCTTGGCTGTGGGATTTGTGAGGGCTGACTCAGCGTTTGCTCCTCAGAGGGGCTCACATGACAGAGCCTGTAAATTGAGAGGCGAGAAGAGGAGAGCTGTCTGTCTTAAAAAAAAAAAAATCTTTGAGTTATTAAGACTCAACTCAACCCCACTGAGGCCGCCTCAAAGCAGCTCTGCCTGAAACTAAAACTCTGGTTGTTGTCTTTGTGTGCTCGTGTGTTACTGTGTGTGTTTGTGTTATGTTTCAGTAAACATCATTATGACTTTGGAGTCCAACACTGAGGTTGAGGCAGTTTTGTGAAGTGTTGTTCTACTTCCCAAAACTCTTCACTGTTTCTTCTTTTTGGCGGAAACATTTTGCATTTCTCATCACGTCTCTCCTCTCAGTCACCAACGTGCCTGAGGGAGCGGCTCCTGCTGCTGAACGCCTTCCTTCATGCAGGACAAACATTTTTTTATCACACCGTTCTGTTTGGATATTTGCAGCTGGTTTCTCAGATGGGGAGCTGCTTTTTACCTGTTAGAGTAGCATCAACCCATAACAGGACACTGTGGAAATATTGCCTGGTTTTGACATCATGTGTCCTTAAGCTCTTACTTACTCCAAACAAATCAAAGTTTTCGCCTGCTTGTTATGAAGACCAATTTGAAAAGTAACCGTCTCATGGTTTAATCTCTTGAATTTCCATCTTAAAACTTTACATGGATAAGACGAGAAAAGGAGAGATCATCAGCGGTACTCTGATTAAATTCAGTCAGGTATTATAGTGCATTAAATCTGGGTTAAACTGTTTCATTCCGCTGAACAGACGAAGCAGTTTGGGGATAATTCACCTGAGTCGAACATGGATATTGTATTTCAGCTTTTGTGTGAAGGTTGTCAGGTCGATGCTTTTGTTCGGCTCTGTATCACACACTGAGTCACTCCAGGACCTGTAAGGGGCTAGTATCCAATCATCCCCGTTTCACAGAGCTTGTCCCTTTTTATCAGATGTTAAACTTAATGATATGCATAATGGTTAATGATGCTGTGGAAAAGGTAATTATGGAATATCAGTTAGCCAAGTCAATGGTATGTGCAAAATAAAGCCAAAGTTATTTTAGGTTTCATTAGAACAGCCTGAACGCACATATAATGTCTCCATGGGTTTAACAGGCTCTATAGATTCCCTAAGAGAGCAGAAGTTCATACGAATTCTTCATTAACTAATCATCAAAGAAGGCTTTTAGCAGTGGAGCTCCACTTATCAGCGACTGGGAGCGCCAGCGTTGACTCAGCTGTGATTCACATCACGTTACATGAACATTTAAGGTCCCAAAAACCAGAGAAACTGCTTCAATCTCGTAACACAGATATGATGAACTGCCTGCAGTAACTGACCTTATGTTAAATGTTTGCATAGGCCCAAATTTGGACGAAAAAGAACACCCTAAAGTGTGGATCATTACTGTTTTTGATAATGTGACGACTTCCTTAGAGACGAGATTGGATGTGTTAAAGTTGCACAAACAAATTGGATGTCTGTTTTTATTTTTTTGTTTTTTTACCACCGTACGTCTTTGCCTCATTCAAATCACAGAAGCTGTGATTCATTTGAACCCCCTCACCTTCTCACTGTCACCCACAACAGTCACATTCTCCCACTCTTCAGGGAGAAATACATGTTTATTTTCTTTTGTTACATTTGTTTGGGCTGCAGTTTCCACAGAGAATTAGAAAAAATTGTTTTGTGTAAGGACTGCGACAGTGTGTTGAGGGGATTTGTTGGTCCTCGGCGCTGATGTCGTTTGCAGGAGACTGTGCTTTCCAATGCTGGCTGTAACCTGGGAGTTCCCATTTACAGAGAGGAGTATGGCAAATAATAGTTATTTCCTCATAAAGAGATGTCGTTTTCAGAAGAGAAACATATTCATTTCTGGAAACGGAGCCTTAAAAGCCCCAAAGAAAGCACAGGAGGGCACAGAAAATACAGAAGTTTAGACAGTTTACTGTAAAATATGAATGCATCCACATTTTATGACAGTGAAAAGTCTCAAAATAGATAGTTTTGGGGCAGCAGGGCCTTATAAGAGAATGGGCTAACATACAACTGCAAGAGAACCACTTTGCAGTTATTTTAGGTTAAATGACATAACAGTAACATGATGTATAAAAATGAACATGATAGAGAGGCAGAGTCTCTCCACAGCTAAGATGTGCACAAATTACAGAACAAAGTGAGATTTTGTCAGGTCATGTAAATGTATCACAGCATCTACAGAACGGGACATTTTAAGAGTCAGAGAATCTGGAGACATGGCTGCAAATCATTAACAGATGTCAGTGATCTTCAGGCCACTTTAAAAACAGACGTGATTCAGTCCTAGTAGTCTATCTAGCATGTCTGCGAACATAGCTCACTATACCCTCCACATATGCAAGTCAAAGCGTCATCATGCAAAGAGGAAGCCTCACACGGTTCACTAGACACCACTGTCATCCCTGGGCCATATCTAGTTGAAAATGGACTGAGGCAATGCAGAAACCGTACTATGGTCAGATGAATGTAAATCTGCATTCTCTGGACTCATTTAGCTTTTCATTAGCCGTCAGCTCACATCTACGAGGTGAATTGGTGCCTGTGGTACCAGCAACTTGCATATGAGCTTTTTGTAGCTATGCTTCTAGCCAGATGGTGTCTTTTTCAGGTAAGGACTTGCATATTTCAGCAAGACAGCTCAGAACCACTTACTGCATACATTACAACAGGATGGCTTCATATGAGAAAAATCTGGCAGTCCAGATATTTCGCCAGTTTAAATATCTCAACAGCTTCCGTTGTGTCAGCTTTAGACGGGCATGATCAGCTGGAAGGTAAAGGTCTGCATCATTTATGTGGATTTAAAAAAAAAATTGTACTGTGGTTAGAATTCTAGAAAAAGAAACACGTTAATGTGCAAATGCACACCAAAGTATACATCTCCTACTGCTTGTAATTAATGTCAAATCCATGATAAATTATTTGTATTTTCGGAATTTATAGAAATGTTCTGGTATAAAATATAGAAAACATAAAAACTAAAGAAAAATAGAAAAGACCATTCATTACCACTGTTTATCTTTAGGTCTGCCATTTAGAGCTAAAGCTCTCCAGCTGACACATCGCCCTGATAAACAGCCGTCATTAACAATGGATGATATTTTTCTTTTCCCTGGAGAAAAAAGACTGTGACATCCTGCTTGAGAGTTTTTTCCGAAGCTGGAGCTTCAAGGGAGGGAAGAGAGGAGGCATCTCTCTCAGAAATCCCCCAAAGAGGCTGAGAGTGTCTGGAGTAAACTGCAGATGGTTTGAGTCAGATTTGGCAGGAATGCAGCAGAGCTGCTGCAAAGTCTGATATAATGATATTAACTAAGTTAATGGGCGCTTAGTTAAAATTTTCCCAGCTTTAATATCCATAACAGACTTCCAGGTCTGTGTGTCCATGACACAGAGCCCCTACACCTTTTACATTCAGGCTTCTCAAGACAGAGATAAACGACTTGGCAGCATCCACTGCAGCTGTTTGGGAACACAGACTCACCGGGTCACGAATGATCTTAACCTTTTTTATCTAAAGTTAAATGCTGTTGCTCTTGCTGTTTTTTTTTTTAGTGAAAAGTTCATGGTGAGACTGAACAAAAACGGAGGACCAAAGAATCCAGAGAAGGTGGACAGGCTGTGCGCTCTCTTCACGGTAACAACCAATAACAGAGAGAATATATAAACTGTGTGCTTAAGATGTAGTTTAGTTTCGGATAAAAGAGTATATCTTTAAAAAAAAAATAAAATGCAAAAGGAAGAAGATAAATGTAAAGCTGCATTGCCCCCTGTTGCTCTGTGCTGGAATCAGCCTCAAAAGCATTCAAGCAAGTTAAAAAAGAGAGAAGTCATGAGGAAAGTGAAGTAAAGTTGAATCCATCTCAGTGCCACCTTTTTGCTGGTTAAGCAGGCCTGATGACATTCTGTTGGCATGAAACCTATAATTCCTCCCCACAGATGTGCATATGTTGACGGATTTTGTTTCTCAAAGTTTTAATGTCAGTAACTCTGTTTGCAGGACCTGAGCAACAAAGACATGAAGAGAGATCTCTACATTGTGTCACAAGTTATTCGAACAGGTGAGACTGTACTTACTGAGACATATTTGAGTTTTTCTATTTTTCAATCATGTACATTTTTTAAACTTGCATTTTTCAGCCTCCCCTCAGTAATTTCAGCTGAACTTTATGTCTGTTGGTGCACAGAATGTGTCTTTAGCGTTGTCAGTAGTTCTCCTGTAGCTCAGACAGTTTGGTTTACATGCTGGTGAAAGGATGTTAAATGCTCTCCCACATTATGATCCTGACAGGTCGCATGCTGCTGAATGACAGTAAGAAAGGCCCCCCGCACGTCCAGTACCGCCGGCCGTACGGCTGCGCGGTGCTGGCCATGAGCGATGTGCTGCAAACCATCTCAGAGCTCAAAGAGGAGAAAGACTTTGTTCTTAAAGTCTACACGTAAGTGATCAGCTGATCCACACATGACAACCAAAAAGACAGCTGTTTGTCCCCAACTTTCAATAAATATAATCTAAACAGTTCTGAGCTAAAATATGATAAGTGAAACAGACATAGAGCTGTCTGGATTTTGTTCGTGTTCACAAATATGATGTTTAAAACACAATATTTTGGTTTTGGAACAAAGAAGAAAATAGAAAATTATTTAGGGTGAGAGAGTAAAAGGTTAAATATGAGATGAGTCAGAAAGAGGAAAAATGAATAGTTTCCTTTATAGTGTTGTCATATCTTTACTCCCACTTTCCTCTTTTACTTCCTCTGTCTGTGAGTGTTTTACAAAAAGGAGAAGAAAATAAGAAAATTAGGAGTTCACACATATAGAGTTTATGGTTGAAAGAGCGGGAAACCACTCAACTAAAGCTTTAGAAAACTTGCCTGGAGAAGAGTGACAGAACTGAGTGTTGCAGCGTGATGTTCAATGTGTTTATGTGATGCACAAACACACACACGCACACACACACACACACACAATGCTTCATAGACAAACTGCATTTTCCAGGGACATAATCTGTTTGTCTTAATCTTCGATTTCCCTTTTCGTTTTAAAAATTATATTTCCTTCTCAATTTGGCATTTTTGCATAAAAATGATTAATAATAAAAATAATTAATAACTGACTTAAAGATATTTATCTTTCATGTGATGTATGAAAGAAAGATTACAGCTCTTTGTGTACAAAACTAAAATAAGCATCTGAATGATGAATCATTGATAAACCTTTTACTGATTTTTTCCCATTAAAGTACCAACAAGCAGTGAGTGTACTGCTTTGAGACGGCTCCTTTACTCTCCCAGACAGCTTGATGGTTATAAGCTTGGTTACAGGAGGTTTTCAGCTTGATATAACAGGACGTTTTTGGTGCTCTCCAGGTGCAACAATGAGAACGAATGGTATCAGATCCATGAGAACATCATCCGCAAGTCCAGTACAAAATACACTGCACCGAGCACCAACTACGGTAGGTGTGTGTGTGTGTTGTGGCATTAGTAAGTGGGCTGTCGCACGTGTGATTGTGGTGCTGTGAGTTATACAAAGATACTTTAAAATTTTGTCAACTGTGCCTCAGTTTTCTCTCTCTATATTTAAGACTTTCTGGGGTCAAGAATCAAATTGTTGTTGTTGCAGCCTTTTTTCTCAGCCCTCTGTTGCAGAATTGTAAATCATACCATTTAAGTCACAGATAAACATCTACTGATCTTCCAATTAAGCTCCCAGTTGTTTCATTTGTTTAGTTCTCTTCTGCCAAACTGTAAAAAAAGTTGGCAAAATTCACACAGAAATGAATTTCCACCAACATTTTTGACAGGTGACTGGCTGCACTTATATATTAAAGAGTACAAATGATGCAACCACTGCACTGTGAAAGTCTCTTTGTTTCATATGTCAGGACACTTGAAACTTTAAAGGAAGACTTACTTATAGCCCAAGTTCCACTCATGTATGTTTAAGTCAGAGAACAGGGCAAGCAAACTCACAAACCAGCCAGGAGGGGCTCATTTGCTTTGGAGAGCATCACGGCATCTGACTGCCCCATGTATGTCAACACTGACATCGGCTGAAAAATCAGCTTAATTGGTGTCACTGTGAGGGATTCTCAGCCTGACCTCAGGCTGCCCTCTTTGACCTGCTGTTGCCAAAAAGACATTTTGCTCATACTGCTGTTAAACTGTATTAACTTTAAGCTTACAGTAATTAGTATCACCTTATTTAATAGCCTCTGTTATATATATATTTTTAATTCTATATGTTTTCAATGCTCAAAGTGAAATATTATTTTCGTCTTTAGTTTAGCTTGCTATCTTTACTTCGGAACCGCCTCATCTTCTCTTCTTCTGTGGTCCTGCAGGTCTGATCATCTCCTTGCAGCTGCTGAGGGGCGACATGGAGCAGGTCCGCAGAGAAAACCCTCTCATTTTCACCAGAGGTGTGGCCATCACACGGAAACTTGGCTTCCCTGACGTCATCATGCCAGGTGAGTCACATGTTTCAGTTTAGGGAGCAGAAACTACGTTTTGGCAGTTTAAGTCTTCCACTTTTAGAAACTAGTGGTAAACTGTGTCCTTTTCTAGAGATCATAGCTCTAATAAGGAAAACTTTTTTTATCTTCTGATTCTCCTTTTTCTTCCTCTTCCTTCCTCCTATAGTTATTTTTTGTGCTCAGTGTGGTCAGAAAAACACAGACTCAAAAGCTGAAGCATTTTTGTCCACAGAGATCCTGAGTAATTCCAGAGTTGAAACAGACAAAAGTTTGTGTATGTGTGAGGAGGTTCGTTAAGGTTGTGCAACTTTGCTTTCTTGTATCATTTTCCATTCGGTGAATGTCCTCCCAGCTAAACTGTGATAGATGTAATTCATTGTGCGTTCCATCGGTGTAAGCAAGAATGATTGATGAAGCTAAAACTAAACTTTTTAAATGCAGTGGAAAGATCCTCATCTTACAGGCACTGTATTATGCACAAGAATTCAGAAGTTGTGTGTCACAATTAGCAACAATTAAGGATTCAGTATAAAAAAAAAAGAGAAAATTGAACAATATACTTTTTAAGATAAAATCTCTAATCATCACTCCAACTACTGGATGTAAATGTTGAGAATTCATCTTAGTGACTTCTAAACAGCTTTTAATCAGCCTGATTATGCCTTAAAAACTTTAGAATTGATATGATAGGAATAATACACTTTCTATGTTTTAGAAACGTTTCTGAAATACAGCCAAAGATAAACATTTACCCTCAAAGCGCCCTCTAAAACCAAACGGAAGCAGCAGGGCTGCGTATGATGTGCTGGAGGGTTTTTCACACCTCTTTCACACACATTAACCATTCCTCCCCTCCGGCAGTGATGGAGTGAGTATTTAACTCCCATCCTGATGTATTAGGGGTGACACCTCCTCCATGGGGACGAGTTGAGAATGACAAATGAATCCAAACACATGTTAACACAGGTCATTAGTCTTGTGTGTGTTCGATGAATTCAGCTCAAAATATGAAGGTGCTTCCACTGGTGCTTGGGGACACGTTTGTCTCTGGTAATGGGGAGCACGCGGCTTTGGCTGGGTTGGTAAAGGCATAGTTGTTGCTTACAGTGCAATCTTTACTGTTTTTTGTGTTAATGCATACGTTTGGCCGTAGGTGACATCCGTAATGATCTCTATCTGACACTGGAGCGAGGGGACTTTGAGAGAGGAGGAAAGAGCGTCCAGAAGAACATTGAAGTGACCATGTATGTCCTCTACGCGGATGGAGAAATCCTTAAGGTGAGGAGCTGGTCCTGTGATTCACCCCCCAAAAAAACCGCTGTAACTAAATTAAATGATTAAATGAAAAGGAGGAAGATCCTTTTCATCTTCCATCATTAGAAGCTTCTTTCAACATCTTATCATGAACACTGACAACAGTACAAACAGGACACCTTTGGTGAACTCTTTAGTTTAATGATTCATTCAATAATTGGCTATTATCTTAATGAATAAGGAGAAAAAGTCTTGGAAGTGAAAATATATTTTTGACTGTGGATGATTCCTGTTTGATGAGATTCAGTTTGTTAAAGCTGCTTCTTTGTTCAGATCATCCTTTCAATATTTCAGAGACTCCAGGCTCACTCCTGTCTGTGTCCTCCTCTGTTTGTTTGCTTGTTTCTGCACCCCCTCTCTGCAGGACTGCATCAGTCTGGGTTCAGGAGAGCCCAACATGCCAGAGTACCGCTCCTTCGTTCTCTACCACAACAACGGCCCCCGCTGGAGTGAAGTGGTGAAGCTGCCCATCCCCATCGATCGTTTCAGGGGGTCCCACCTACGCTTCGAGTTCAGACACTGCTCCAGTGAGTGATACACTCACTGCTATTGTCATCACTCTCTCCAAGTAACTGTCCAAACAAAGAAAAGCCAACTCTTCTAAGAGATAACTTTTACACGATAAGACTGATGAGTGACACCTATGAACAAACATCAGTAGCCGTGCTGTGAATGTAGATGCACAAACACTGTAAAAATAATGTGTTGCTTATGTGTTCTGTCAAACTAATCAGGCTGTTACATCTGATTCATCCTCACAGCGTTGAGATACAGAAGTGCTGCACATCTGTTGTTATCGTCTTTTAGGTCTCTGATGTTTTATCTCCCGCTCACTCTCTCTCTCCTATTTTTTTACTCTGCAGCAAAGGACAAAGGAGAGAAAAAGCTGTTTGGCTTTGCCTTCACTCCTCTGATGAGGGAGGATGGAACCACTCTATCTGACGAGAGCCACGAGCTCTATGTCTACAAGGTTATTCACATCGTCTGTCCTCCTCCCGCCACACTGCCAAACATTATCAGTGTTTACATGTGACACTCCTCAACACTTCTGGACATCGAATCAAGCAACAATTAACACAAACTGCAAAGACGTTTTCAAACCGCATTGATTTCTGCAGGGGTGCAGAGTAACCCATCTGCCTTTGATCAACTTACAGTATATTAGTGTTTCCTAACCCTGGTCCTGAGGGCCCACAGTCCTGCATGATTTCCATGTTCCCCAGCTCCAGTACACCTGATTCAAATGAATGTATCAGCTCCTCAGTTCTGCAGAAAGATGAGAATGACACATTCATCCGAATCTGGTGTGCTGGAACTGGGCAGCATGGAAAACATGCAGGTTTTTGGGCCCGGAAACCAAAGCTTAAGATACACTGCAGTAGATTTTCATAGTGTTGTTTAATGAGGTATTTGGATCACAGGTCTAAATGTCATCCAAGCAGATCCATGCAGAAATCTGTGTTTTAAAAAAAAAAGACCACTAAAATCAAGACCATCAGACTTTTTAGTGCACAGTCCTCTTCATTTGGGGATTTTTGCACAGCAATTGAAGTATCTTTGAAATATCCATAATCAGTCCAGCAGTTGTGTGTTAGCATCCCGTCATATAAAATCATTCTCACTGAGAGTGAAGGAAAGACAACAACAGGACAGACATGGCAAAACGTGCTCCCATTCAGTTCAAAAGGAATTCAAGGTTGCCCATGAACAGTCATTTTAAAACCAAACATGGTTTTCCACTTTTCTGTCCCTCTTTGCGACTGCAGTGTGATGAGAACACAACCTTCAGTAACCACGCCCTTTACCTGGGCCTGCCCTGCTGTAAGGAGGACTTCAACAGCTGTCCCAGCATCCCGTCCAGTCTCATCTTTCAGCGCAGCATCAAGGAGACCTTCTGCATCTCCACACAGCTCTCCTCCACCAAGCTCACCCAGAACGGTACACAGCTGATCCATTCTCATACCCCACCTTTAGTTGGACTGTTTTAGGGAATTAAATCGGGCGCTGGACGCCTGACCTGAAAATTTAGAGATAATGGAGAATGACCATGTTTCTTAGTTTGTCTTCTTTCACTTGCATGTGAACAGATTTCAGTGAGTGGATGCCGAGCCTTTGCACTGCCAGTTAACTCTTCAGAGTTGTTCCACATTTCCAGCAATCCATCCAGCCATTTAGTTGTGTCTTAACAATTTGTGGTTGTTGACATTGCGGGTGTCTTCCAGTGGACCTCCTGGCCCTGCTGAAGTGGAAGGCCCATCCTGACCGGGTCATGGACATCCTTGGGCGTCTTCGACACGTCAGTGGAGAAGAGATAGTCAAGGTGAGATTTAGTCTGACAAGAAATAAAGGAGCACGCTTCCTTTATTTAAATAATTTTATGGTATTGAGGTATCACTTCATACAACTCAAAAAGATGACATAGTCAAAGTGAATCTCTACATCTTCCTCTCTATTTTTTAAGCAGGAAATATGTCAGATATTTCTTCTCTGACAGAGTTTGTGCACTGTAGTGGTTCCTTTGCTCTCCATCATCTCACACAGGCAGTTCTGTTCCAGATTTGGTAAAACAAGATGGCATAGACTTTTCATTTCATCTGTAGTGAGGGACTCCTGCAGGTACTCTTCATCATGGTTTGATTTATCTGTGATGACTGGTTATGGGACATTTTGTGAAGACGGATCGTTTTTTCTTTTTTAAAAAGCAAAGGAGAGATAAGCTAGCTGAAGTTATTTTATTCACTTAATGCATAACAGGTAGCGGGTAAAAGTAGTTCAAAGTGTCCATTGTTGTCCACATTGTCTATGTATTTGTGTTACAGTTTCTTCAAGATATATTGGACACTTTATTCTCCATCTTGGATGACAACACAGACAAATATGGACCTCTGGTATTCCAGTCGTTGGTAAGTGTGGACTGATGAGAAAGAAAAAGGAGGTTCGATTAGAAACATAAACATGGTGAACCTCATCGTAAGAAGGAGCAACTAAAGATGAAGATCCTCTAACCAAAGACAGATTAATAACAGATGTGACACACTGTCGGTTTTAATTAGTTTCCTGTTGTCATGTGTCAAAATATTGCACACCCAGTCAGAAGTGATTAGGGCTGATGTGGTTTGTGAAAGTGGCTGATTTTCAGCTGCAGCTGGGTTTTTTATGCACAGAAACGGTAACATCGCAGCAGAACCTGGAATTGAACAATTCACCTGTGATAAGAGATAAAACTTGATGATACATTTTCAGAGTTTCCATCAAGCTTGTAAAACACAACAACACATTTAACAGAAATATGGTTAACTGTTCCCACAAAAAGGGCTAAGAGTCACATACACAACATGTGTGACAGACAGTGAACAGCAGATGATATGTGAGGCATTTTAAAGGAAATATAAAAAGTAATATTCCCTTATTTAATGTCCTGATGATGGTGCTGGTGGAGTTAGGAGATGTTCAGCTGGATTTAGGTTTGGATTTAGACTGTGGAAGACAAAGTTTCATGTCATATTGATCAAACAGGCGCTGCTGTGTCATCATGGAGCACATTGATTTGCATCGTTTCCCTGGATGAGCCTTCACATAAAGCTGACATTTAACCTTTGCTGAGCGACTGCCTCTCTAAAATTTCTGGTGTGTAAGGCAGCGTCAGCATAATTTGGCTCGCATATTGTTTTGTTAAGGCGTTTTTGCTCATTTGCCAGGCACACGACAAAAACTGTCACGCACATCATCTTCTGGTTTTTCAAAATGAGCAATATTTGCTCAGTAACACAAAGAAGCCGAACGCCAGCAAATTATAAAGACTCAGGGGAGACGGGCTCTGTTTGACATCACCAAAAGACACAAAGCACGCACTGTTGTACTTGTGTTTTTACTGAGTTTCTCTTCATTGGACATTCATATATGCAGTGTCTGTGGTGTGTTCAGGTGCTATTTTTGTTCCCACAGATGTGGTGATGTGAAACGGCAGGGATTCTCTTTTAGCTGCTGGTTTGGTCTTTAAGACCCTAAAGGACAAGTGAAAGCTAAATGTCCGTCACAACAACCACCAGTTCTCCTACAGGGCACTGACCCCTACATTTGACTCCCACAGCTTGCTCTGATGTCTTGGTTCACACCACATATGGGCTTGCCGATTTATGGAAGGCGGTTGTGTGGAAACGCCTCATGTGACACTTTTCCACATCTGTCAGTCTGTGAGCTTGTGTGTAAAAAGATAATGATTATAACAAAGCCCCTGGCAATGAAGCTCGCCCCAACAATGAGTCTTGTTTTTTATTATATCCTGAAACAAAATCAAAATCATCTGAGCCTCATCAGCATTTGGACAGTTACCATGTGTGTGTGATATGGCAATAGCTTAAATGTGGCTGAACACTGTGTTGAAACATGAAACCCTAGCCCCACCCTTTCTCTCTCTTTCCTTTCCAGGTGTTCATCATAAACCTGCTCAGAGACAGTAAATACTACCATTTCAGACCGGTGATGGACACATATATCCAGAAACACTTTGCTGGTGCTCTGGCCTACAAGTGAGTGTCCAACTTTCCAGCTCGAAATGTGACAGCAACCATAAGAGCTGGAAAGCAGTGCTTCTAAACTGTTATAAATATATCCAAACTAAAGTTTTGTTGATTTATCTTTATAATAGATGTGTATCATTCTTTTAAGAAATGGCCAATCCTCCTCTCGTGTCACGTGTCTTTTTCATTCTCTCAGGCGTATAGATATGATGTGCATGTCACTCTTTTGCTCTCTTTTCCCTAAAAGTAACCAAACTTCATGAGAGAACTGAACATGGTAAACACTAAGAATCATAAGTCAGTAGAGTAAAATTGACATGGTTTAAGGCATACGTCACACCCTACCTTCCTACTAAAAGGTAAAGAGGCAGATGATTTCACTCTGAGACTAAAATGTAATGTTACATCCTGGAAACCTTTCTGACAAAGTCCTGAAGACTAACCTCTCCCAACATCATAAGATATGAATGTGTCCATGCTTTAATGAATCATTTAAAGACTATTCCCAATTCAGTGAGGTGTCCTCTGAGAAAAAGAAAGAGGTGTTTGAGCTTTGCTGTGTTGCAGGGAGCTGATACGCTGTCTGAAATGGTACATGGACCGTTCTGCTGAGGTGATCAGACAGGACCACATTCAGGAAGCCATGAGGGTAAGAGCCCCCATCTGACCTCTGAGCACCTTAAACTTAAAACCGAACATCATGCCCCTTTAGCTTTTATGCATTCATACAGTTACACCACAGGTTTAAACTTTTATCATACTTTAACAAACACCTGCGTCATTCATAACATACGTGATCACATATGTTTGTCATATTTATGTCCTGCTGCTTTATTCAAGTCATCTGCTCAGTGTTTTATGTAAAATGCTTAGGTGGCCATGATTCTTTTTAAAATACCTTTCTAACATTTTTTTCCGACTAGTCATGTCGGACTACATGTCCTTTTGACGAACAGCACACATTAGATGTTCAGTGCTGTGGACGGAGCTGTGGTGGAGCATCTTACTTGCAGGGTGTACCACATTTATCTGACAAAGCTGCTCAGCACTCTGAAATATTCATCAGGCTGAAGCATACATCTCAAATGGGTCACACTGTCATGTAGAAGTGGACGGTGTGAATTATTCACGACAGTTATGACACATGCCGCCGCAGTGGATTTGGATTTTTCATCCATCCTGAGGAAGCATGTTTGTGCTCCGTTTGGAGCGTTGTCTTGGTTTGTTTTTGTATATTACAACAATCCTACATATCTATAGACTATGCAAGCACTTATTTTTGAAGATCCAGGTTATGGTATACAGTTTCTTAGCTCTTAGAAGTTACGCAGTCCTTAAGATTAGAAATCTGTATTTGCTTCAGTAACCACCTCTCAGTTGTATATCTAATTAGAACTAACATTGTCTTTGTCAAATAATGGTTATAATAATAATATTATAACCATTATATATTATTATATATATAATATAATAATGGTTCTACTTTATGGGTTATTTTGTTTGTATTTTGTCCCACAAAAAAATCTTCAGGCGCTGGAGTATCTGTTTAAGTTTATTGTCCAGTCTCGGATCCTTTACTCTCGGGCCACTTGTGGTATGGAGGAGGAGCAGTTTCGCAACAGCATCCAGGAGCTCTTCCAGTCCATCCGCTTCGTCCTCAGCCTGGACAGCCGCAACTCGGAGACCCTAATCTTCACTCAGGTGGGAAACCGCTGTTTGGACACACGGGCTGAATGCTGCCTCTTTGCTTGGAATGATCAAGTTCTTCAGAGACGCATCAATAAAAAAAATGATTGACTCTTGATAAGCTGCTCTCCTTTTCGTTTTACCCACTGAAACAACTACTTGTCTTCATGATGCACACAAAGCTTTACTTTGCTCTCATAACAGCTAGTGTCAAGAAAATGTGTTTACTTAATTTAGTTCATTTCTAAATAAGCTTGTTTTCCACCAGCCCGTACAGTAGTTGCATTAATCTAACTTATATATGCTCTTTGCACCTCTTTCTACTTGTACCTTTGGTCTTTCCGTGCTTCCTCTCCACCCCTTCTCTTTCAACCTCCCCTCATTCTTTGCTCCTTCAATTGGGTCCCTATTGCACCCATATGCACCACAGGGCTCCCAGCCTTGCCCAGGCCCAAACCCAGCCCCTGGCCCTGGCATTGGGCCTCCTGCACACTTAGCACTAGTACCTGCCCTGGGCCAAACGCAGCCCCCTGCCCCAGGACAGGTTCCTGGCAGCGGGCAAGGCAACTGTTCTCAGGCCTTGAGCTCCAACGCTCCGCGGCCACCTCCACTGTCAGTAAGTAGACATCTGAAAGAAAGCCAACCCCCCAGTTTGTTGTGTGAAGCCCAGAGTCCTAATGCACCTGTTCAGCTGTTTGTGAGCCTAACATCTCACACGGACACCTGCAGTCCTGCACATCCTGACTGATTTCACACATTGGTACACGTTCCTGTCCGTCCTGCACTGAGTAGTCACCCCCGATGAATGTTATTCTACGGAAGCACTGCATATCAATCACCTGTTACCTGATTCAGAACATCCACACTTCTAAAAAAAAAAAAAAAAAGAGCTGTGTATTTAATAGCAGCTAAAGTCAAATCATCCAATCAACTGAATTCATGATATGTAATGATAGTTTTGTACAATGAAAAAAAACATCACTTTTAGAACAGAGAGCCTAAGTAGCTTCTCAAAGGTTGTGATTTTAACAATACCCACTATCTGGTCACATTTTGTTGATGAAAAACACATTTTGTTGATGTACAAAGAAACTGAAACAGAGTCGAATCTTCAGCTTCTCTCAGACCAAGACAACTCATAACTTTGTGCCCAACTCAAATTCTGCTCCACCCTGTGCACAAGATCCAGCCACTTTGTCTCAGTTACTAAAACCAGCCGCTTGGGTCTTTCACTGGTGTCACTAATCATATTTGGTGTGCAATGGATTAACTCTTCTCATTTTGTCCAGACAGTCCTTTTGCCTTTGCCTTAGTGTTTAAACTTCTGATTCTAACTTTGCCATGATTTGATATAGAATTCTGTCTTTTTCCACTCTCTCGCCTGTGCTTTTAAGATCTAATTAAGGGTTGTAGCTCAGTTTTATAAAGTAGTTTATACTGTATGCTGCTTCATAACAAAGACCTGTTTAGAAACCTTTGTTACTCTTAGGTTGGGGACAGCCAGCATGATAGTGCACATTGTGTGATGATAAAGCACTGATTTTGGTAGTCAGCCTTTCTCAGAATCCACTTTGATTCATCCCTGCTCTCTTTGGTTTTAAAGTGGTCACATTTATTTTCATTACAATCACAGAAACTAACACTCTTAACTTTCTAACCCGTCGGTTTTCTATTCTATATAAAACATCTTCCCACCTCTCACTCCCATTTTCATCTGTAAGCATTCAATTAATCTCACCCTTGTCTATCCTGCCTGTCCCCTTCCTCAGGCCGCACTTCTGAACTCGTTTCCGGCTATTTTTGATGAGCTGCTGCAGATGTTTACCGTGCAAGAGGTTGCAGAGTTTGTGCGCGGTACTCTGGGCAGCATGCCATCCACAGTGCACATAGGACAGTCCATGGATGTGGTCAAACTGCAGTCCATAGCTCGGACCGTGGACAGCAGACTCTTCTCCTTCCCAGGTAAAGGTGGTGGTTTAACCAATCATTAACAAGTCTTGTCATATTACTATCAAAAAGGAGTCAAACAAATGGCAGCTAATGTTCAAAAACTAAAATATTTGTATGAATATTAGATTGTAGAATTCATTGTTAGCTTTTGATTGGATTAATTATGTAAACAGGTGAAGTATTACTCACAAATAACAACGTGAATTCACTTTGAATGCAATAATGAAGTGTTTGCATCCATGCTTTTGTGTGCCCACAGAGTCTCGAAGGATTCTTCTTCCAGTGGTCCTGCATCACATTCATCTCCATCTGAGGCAGCAGAAAGAGCTGCTCATCTGCTCCGGAATACTCAGCTCCATATTCTCCATCATCAAGTCCAGCTCACTGGTAACACACACACACTGAAAATTACCTTTAGCGTGCAAAGAGAATGAAAATGCACAAACCTATAGCACAAGTGAGAAATAGTTTATTCTAATTATTGTCTTATTATTTTACTTTGGTGTTTCTATCTCTGATTTCACTGATTAAAGCTCTGATTTAATTGATGGCAGCATCAAAACCCTTAGCAGAACCATGATGTTGACATTGTCATCTAAAACACATAACATGAATGTGAAATATGCACCTGCCCTCCTCGACAAAGTAAACATATTCAGGAATTTATTGACCCATGATTATGATTCGATGTGATCTTTTCCAAAATATAACAGCGTCTTTTCCATCCTGGCTTTGAAGTTTTGAGCAAGGCAGGAATAACATGGCCGGCTTGTTTTTCTCAATAGAACATTTTCTCCCAAGTGGGTAGAAAATCCATTCAGATTAAAGAGTTTGACAACATCTCATTAAGTTTAATATTTAAAATTCACTTGTATCTGAATTGGTTGGCTTCAGAATATAGTGACAGCATCAAGAGTTACATTAACAATCAATGCTCTGAATCATGTGTCTGGGACATTTCATTTCCCCTAATATAAAAACATATAAAACATTATGCTGCTGTTGTGTCACTGACTTCATAATTCAGGAAGCATCAGTTGATTACTTTGTGGTATTTAGATGAAGTTGTCTTTCTATTTTGTCTCTCTTTTTCCTTTTTCACCCACTCCTCCTGTTTTTTCCCTTTCCACGTCATTCTCTTTACTGCCCTTTTTCTCGTCATTTTCCTTGCAGGACACATCAGTGCAGGAGGAGGTGGAGATGATGGTGGAGTCCCTGTTGGATGTCCTCCTGCAGACCCTTTTGTCAATCATGAGCAAGAGCCAATCGCAGGAGGCGGTAAGGGGTCAACGCTGTCCGCAGTGCACCGCGGAGATCACTGTTAGTAACTAACAATATGACTACTACTCCACCCTCCACTCATCCATCCTGTGCTGTGCCACCCGTCTGCATGTTTGTAGGGCTGGACAACATCAAATCATTCGTCTCCTTGTTGTCGTTATTCCTTCTTGTATAGTAACACAAGGCCTTGCAAAATATTTCAGAGATGATGAGTTGAATAAATTCTGATTAAATATAACTTCAAAAATTTATTACATTGTTGATCTTGTCCATGTGCCCTCTCTAAATACATCCTTTCATCAATCCCAACCCGTCAGGTCTGTTGTTTTTTTCCACACTTCATCCTCTTTATGAATGCATGTATGTCTTAACATCCCTCACATCCTTGTATGTGTCATGAATGCATCTTTTAATTGTTCCTCATTGATCTTTCTGCTTCAGGTACAGTTCTTTGTCTTAGTTACATTTACATATTCTACGCTGTTTAATGATTTACACTTCACCCAGCTCACCTCTGGCCTCTCATTCTGGTCCCTACTTACACCACACTACGTCTCCATCTGATATCCCCATCAAGATATCAGTGGACAAGTGAAGGCAAATAAGGAATCAAAGATTGTTCTTTGTCTGGTCTGAAGCAGAAACCTATTGTTAAATTGCAATTGTTAAAACCTAAACAAGATAGTCAATGGTTATTTTGTTTTGTAGGATATTGCTCATTAAAAATATTCTCCCCATCCAGATTATTTTGGAAATTAGTTTTGTGTGAGTCATGTTTCCTGCTTAGGTTTAATGATAAAAATGTTCATTTATCTGCACTCTATACCGGGAAGATTTATTTATTATGCTCAGTAACCATCATACAAAGTGACTCTGTATAGAGAAGCCGATGAATCGGGACCAGTTTGGGGAAGATCCATCATCTCCTCTCATACTTGTCCCCATGTAATTGGCTCACATGATCATCCCCTCTTTGCTTCTTGGCAGGGAGAGTATGTGTCCTGCCTCCTGTCGCTTCTTCGCCAGATGACAGACATCCACTTTCAACACTTGATGGAAAACTTTCAGAGCAAGGAGGAGCTCAAGGTAGATGAGGCGCGCCAGCTCTGACACTGTGCCACAGGACAGTAGAGCTGATGGAAAGACGATGAAAAATTTGTTTAATTGGGCAACTGCAAAGATTTAAAAGGTCCGTGAACATGTTGGACATGTGACGTCAACACTGATCCTATTCTCACCTCTTTCGCCATCGCAGGAATTCTTCCTGAAGATCTTGTGTGTGTTCAGAAATCTGATGAAGCTCAGTATCTTTCCACGTGACTGGAACATCATGAGGCTGCTCACCAGCAAGTAGGAAACCAAAAATACCTTCCAGACAGCCCAGACACCCATCAGTGTTGACATGCCTCACCAGTTTAAGCCAAAATAACACCAAGCACCAACTGACAGCAACGTTTCTGTGTCTTGTTTCGGCAGCATCATCCTGACCACAGCCCAGTACCTTTCTCCTGCTTTGCACAAGAGCTTTACCGAAACAGACTTTGACTTTAAGGTATGTAATTAGACTTTCCCGTGTACACCCAGCGACAAGCCACAGCTGAGCCAACCGGAAACTATTTCTGCTGCAGACATGGACAATAACAGCCGGCCAGCTCTCAGATTTATCTGTTTCCTGAAGTGGAAAGAAGACTGTTGGGGGGCCGATTCGTTAGGTTTTTTTTTTGTTTTGAGATGCGAAAAGATCTGCTGTTGTATAGTTTTGCCTGATTTGTCATAGTTTTAATTGGGTATTTTCCTTTCAATTACACAAAAAACACATTTGATACATGCAGTTTTGCATTTGAGCCCATTTGCATCATTTTATGGTAGAAATGCTCAAAACCCTGTTGTACAAAAATTTGATGCACCTGACAACAGTGGGCTTAAGACTGCACCTCAATAATTGGGATTTTTTGCACAGTAATTAAGGGAAGATATACATTTTTTTTTTTTTTATTGTTTTCATATTTTTTATGGTCCAAATAACGATTTCAGACCAAAGATTTTTCAACATTTTTAGAAGCCAAAAAGAAACATGATTTGTTAAAGTAATCATCCTTATTCGGACAAGTGCATGAAATGAAGAGATTTTTTAAATTTATATTATTATTGTTATTACATATAATGATTTAATAGAGGCTGTGTACAGAGGCTGTGCACAGATTTGTGTGTGTGTGAAATGAATCCATTATAATGACAGCTTGTGTGTGTGTTTGGCTAGGTGTGGAACTCCTACTTCAGTCTGGCGGTACTTTACATCAACCAGCCAAGTTTACAGCTTGAAAACTTGAGTCCTGCTAAGAGGAAGAAGGTCTTAGACAAGTAAGGACACACACAAAAATTCAACAACAACTTGTAAAAATGCAGAGAACAAACAGACTGAGACATCAGTCCCATTAGATTGACTTTGAAACAAAAACTAGTTTTCTATCTCTTCACACATAAAACTCTTACCAACACTCATTAAACTAAACCATACAAAGCAGCTTTAGGCTTGCAACAAGACTTGCACACATGCAAAAGTTGTTTCACTCTGAGTTTTGTTTCCTTTGCAGTTTAGATGCTCTGTAAAAAGTTGATCTGAAGGGCAACAAAGTGGATGAAGCTACCAGCTGCTTTATTTAACCTGCAGATAGATTTCTTTCCTCCCAGAGAGATTGTTTTCTTCTCAATAAGCCTGAAACCCTTGGATGGCTCCTCTTATCAGAACTGAGTTTAAACATCACAAATGTTGTGTAAATGGAGAGAAAAATAGATGACTTGGATACAAGTCTGAAGGCATAGTTCATTTCCTAATAATGCTGCATACATGCAGCATTTGTGTGTCCCTGTGAGGGACTGGCAACCTGTTGGGTTGTACCCCCTTCTCATGCAAAGCCAGTGCAGATAGACTCCCACGACTCAGAACTCTTAAATGGGTTTAGGAACCGGATGGATGTTTAGTTTTATCCTCTTACTGACGTTTGTCCCTTTGCAGGTATGGTGACATGAGAGTGATGATGACCTATGAGCTTTTCAGCATGTGGCAGAATCTGGGTAAGATCTATAAATGATACTTTGCCTTAGTTTATCATTGTGAGAGTTATTAGAAATGACCTCCTGGAGGTGAAAAAAAGTAGTTTGATTGACATATCAGCTATTTAAAAAAAATTATTTTAAGAAAAATAACGGAATTTGTCATCTTAGCAGCCTGAAATAGACTATTTCAAATAATTAAATGGTAAAAGGTGGTTCTAAAATGTGGACATTTTAGGTGAGAATAAGATCCATTTCATCCCTGGGATGATTGGTCCATTCCTGGGGGTGACTTTAGTACCTCAGGTTGAGGTGAGAAACATCATGATTCCAATCTTCCATGACATGATGGACTGGGAGCAACGCAAAAACGGAAACTTCAAACAGGTAAACGGTTGCGAGCTGTAAAAGAAATACCATCTTAAACAGCAGTTTTGCTCAATTATTTGGTGATTTTTGTCCTTATATGTGTGTGTGTGCAGGTGGAGGCTGAGCTGATTGACAAACTGGATAGTTTGGTGTCCGAGGGGAAAGGTGATGAGAACTACAGAGAGCTCTTCGGTTTGCTGTAAGAACACAGAGTAGAGCTTGTGTTTTGTGTGTGCTTTAACTCCCACCTCTCTCTGTTTTTAAACCGGTGTGAAATCTCTCTCAATTCCATAACAGAAACGAACGCTCAGTTTTTCTGCTCTAACACTGCTCGTGTGTTTGCTTTGCGTTGTGCTGCGGGACTAGTACTCAGCTGTTTGGGCCCTACCCCAGGTATTCCCACACTAACACACGCCGGCGCTGCAGTCGCCGTCATCACCAGCTAACATGTGGAGTAGAACTTTCAAAAAGCAGCAGTAAAGCGTATCTAGTTTTACACCCAGTCCTGGTGCTGAATGTTCTGCCAAATTAACTGAACAATTTCAACATTTTCCTTAATGTCTTTACATCACATACTTTTCAAGCCAGTTTCTGCCAATAAATTCCACTTGAGCTAAAACCCTTCATGAAAAAGTAACATTTCAATCTTCGAATTGGAAATCTTTATAAGAAATGAGTAGTATTTGTTTGCATTTTCCATAATTTTCAAAGTGCTCCACTTCAGCATCAAATCCTTGTCTTTTTATAAGTCTGTTGGAGAAGATTGAGCAGGAGACTTGGAGAGAGACGGGCATCTCTTTCGTTACCTCCGTCACAAGACTGATGGAGCGACTCCTGGACTACCGGTAATATATCTCTCATTTTTGTGCAGAATAACCAAAAAATAAAGCTTTGGCATCAAAACACTTGCGTCTTTGTTTTCAAGGCTAATTAAGTGGACACCTTATTTTGAAAAGTGTACCTGTTTATGTAGCTGTAGACATTAGTTTACCTCAAAGTAAGTAAAAAAGCTTCCACCATGCTTAAAAAAAAGTTGTCCAGACTCAGCAGAATCAGAGCCTCATCCAGGCTAGTGGTTTGACTTTTCATGCTACAACAGAGCTGTTTTGTGCAGGGACTGCATGAAGGGAGATGAGACGGAAAACAAGAAGATTGGCTGCACTGTCAACCTCCTGGTAAGATTAATCTCGTGTTCATCCGCAACTGACTATTCATGCTTAACGGTTTTATACAGAGAGAGTTCTGACTTTTTGTTCTTGTTTTGCTTTGTACCTTTTCAGAATTTTTACAAGTCTGAAATTAACAAAGAGGAGATGTACATCCGCTACATCCACAAACTGTGTGACATGCACCTCCAGGCAGAGAACTACACGGGTGCGCCGCAGGCCAAAAGCCACACGTGCACTCAGAGTGTGTGAGGGATGTGTTGCTGATGTGCTGCTGCTGATTCTGTCCACAGAGGCCGCCTTCACACTGCTGCTGTACTGGGAGCTGCTACACTGGGACGAGCGGCCTCTGAAGGAGTTTCTGCATTATCCTGCTCAGACTGAGTGGCACCGCAAGGAGGGGCTCTGCCGCAAGGTCATCCACTACTTCAACAAAGGAAAGGTGAGAAATCACCCAGTCAGCGCAAATATCACATGCCCATTTTTCAAATTTCTGCTAAATTCAATGCATCAAAAATGAATTATGTAGTATGATGAGTTTATCATGCGTAGGCTGCTGCACTTTAACAAATGTGAAGCACAACCACCTAGCTTGTTCAAACTTTTGCAGGATACCACTGCTAAAATGATCTTGTATTTATTAATGAAATCCCCCTTAAAACAGTTTCTTCCATGAATAGTGACAAAAAGTTGATCTAAAGTCTTGAGTCTATCATTCTATTTCATTTAAATAATGAATTACTATTTTTTTCAATTGTATACATTCTTCTTCTATTTTTCAATCTAGAAACTGGATAAATCGTCCACCAAAAATTATTATGATTCAAATGTTTGGTTTCATTAGATCATCAGAGACTAAATATATTCAGCAAATAGTTACGTTCTACAGAAAAGTGCATTCAGTCTTCACACTTGTGTATCTGGCAATGTCCACTTTCCCCCTGTTTGTTCCCCCCAGTGTTGGGAGTACGGCATTCCTCTGTGCAGGGAGTTGGCCTTTCAGTATGAATCTCTGTATGATTACCAGAGCCTCAGTTGGATACGGGTGAGCTGAAGTCCCAAAGCTTTTTCCACTTTAGCTGGAGCTCCTTCATGCTAAAAATAATTCCAATCACATTGAAATATATTCTCACTGAATGTGGAGTCACACCTCTTGTTGACTGGTGAAGGAAGAATTAATATGGCAACAATTTTACACTCTTTATGCTGAAAGGTTAGAATTTAACTTCTGGTAATTATTTTTCCTTTATGGCCTGTTTGTGTAGAAAATGGAAGCCGCATATTATGACAATATTATGGAGCAGCAACGTCTGGAGCCGGAGTTCTTCAGGGTGGGATTCTACGGCAGGAAGTTCCCTTTCTTCCTCAGAGTGAGTTTTACGTCACACTACAGATGCCCTTTGAAGCTGGCTTATGAGAGTCTAGAGCTTAAACAAATGACACTTTTGCCATCTAATGTGTTTTGTTTTTATTCATTCTCATCAGAACAAAGAGTTTGTCTGCCGGGGCCATGACTATGAAAGGTTGGAGGCTTTCCAGCAGAGGATGCTGGGAGAATTTCCACAAGCTATTGCAATGCAGCACCCGAATCAACCAGATGAGGCCATTCTGCAGTGTGATGCTCAGTGTATCCTCCAGATAAGGAACCATGTTCCATCTTCGGCTTGTTTTTGGCGGCATATAGACAAAAACAAAGTTAAAAAAATATTTCAGCATTAAAGAACAACCCATGTTCATACAAATAAAGTAAAACATTATTTGGGGTAGATTTTATCTCATATTTACAGTATCACTCAGTTAAACAATAGATTGTCTGAATGTTGACCATTTATTCAGTTAGCTCTTTGACCCGAGGCCATGCTGGGCTCAGATCTCCAGATCTATGCTGTAACACCAGTTCCAGACAGCGTCAGCGTGCTTCAGATGGACAGAGTCCCAGATCGCATCAAGAGCTTCTATCGGGTCAACAACGTTCGGCGATTCCGTTACGACCGGCCCTTCCACAAAGGACCCAAAGACAGAGACAACGAGTTCAAGGTCAGCACAGATGAGTTGTTCTTTAGTATCTATAACTCCATGAAAAATAACTGGGGTCTGTAATTGAGCTATTCAAAGATTCCTTAGTTAAGATATAAATTGCTTGTTGCTGTGATTATTCTATAGAATGTGGTCAAACAACATGTAAGGAGATCCGACCATCTAAATGACTACTCACGGCTTGTGTTGTCTCTTTTCAGAGTCTCTGGATAGAGAGGACAACACTGATCCTCACACACCCTCTGCCTGGAATTTCTCGCTGGTTTGAGGTCGATAAGAGAGAACTGGTGAGTCAGCAAAACCAATATATAGTACACAAATTCAAGTGTTATATTACTTTCATAACACAGCAATGTCTAATGTCCTGTTTTGGAAGATTTAAATATGGTAAAATAAGTCTGCTGCAAAGGAGTTTTGGGACGGATAAAAAAAGCAGCATCCACAGATTGTTAGCATAGTTACAGACATAGATTCCTTTCTCTCTCTTTTAGGTGGAGGTGAGTCCACTAGAAAACGCCATTTCAGTGGTGGAGAATAAGAACCAGGAGCTGCGGACTCTGATCAGCCAGTACCAGCACAAGCAGCTGCACGGCAACATCAACCTGCTCAGCATGACGCTGAACGGAGTCATAGATGCTGCCGTCAATGGAGGCATCGCCAGATACCAAGAGGTATAAAAGCACCAAAACATCTTTATTCCACATCATGATGTCATCCGTCATGATGTCCCTATTCCGTGACCATAAAGACAGTCCACTGTTGTCATGCTGGCTCTTTTTAAAGAATAAAAAGGGTGTTTGTTTGTTTTTTATGCCTACAGAGAAATATAGTAAAGCCAGAAATCATATAACCAGAAAATGACAGGCATTAGAAACAACAGCCATACCACTATTTACCTGACTTTGATTATGATGATGTCTGTGGAAAATTGTCATTTTCTTTGTTTTTTCTATGTAAACAGGCTTTCTTTGATAAGGACTACATCACCAGCCACCCGGAGGACACAGAGAAGATCACACAGCTCAAAGACCTGATGCAGGAACAGGTGACACATACAGTTAGACACAATGTTTCTCTGAGGAACAACACTTTGAATCTTATAACCAAATGTCCAACTCAGGCATTACAGAGACAGTCAGAGGTAACAAGAACCAAACGATTCATCCTTCAACAACTCAGAGTTGCTGTTTTGTTTTTTAAGGATCACACATGAAAACATCCTGGTGCAGAAACCAGTTGTTTTTACTGTCTATTTTGATTTTGACAGTCATAAATCTGACTGCCGCTCTCTGCACACTGGTGATATTTCCCTAATTTCCACACAGGTCCACATCCTTGGAGTTGGCTTGGCCGTCCATGAGAAGCTGGTGCACCCGGAAATGCGTCCCCTGCACAAAAAGCTGATAGACCAGTTCCAGATGATGAGGAGCAGCCTGTGTCATGTGAGTGCAGACTGTAGCGGCTCTGCATGATGCTTTTAAGACTTTAAAATTTCTGCATTCTTTGGGGAAAAACTGATGGGGAAAGTCTAGCCTTAACTATAGAACTACAACTGTGGTCTAAGTTTACGGTGAGTGTGATGGAGGGGTTTTTGGATCCGTCTTCCGCTGATTGAAGAATCTAAACTCTTTATGCTTCTGATATTTCACTGTTCCATTGATTTGTGTTTATCTAAGAGCAGCGTGAATATTCAGAGCAGTGCTTCTTTGTTGCACTGCAGGGTCTTCCTGGGCTGGACAAGTCCGTTTCAGGAGCGAACACACACAGAGGGATCCTGGCCTCTCACAACCCCATGAGCCCCGAGGGCTTCAAACTCGTGCACCGACACAGGTCAGCACCTTTTTATTTTATCCCGGTAAAACTCTTAGTGCAATCAGTTGCTCCATCTTCCATCCATCCACATGAAAAAAGTGACATCCTCATCCAGGGTAACTGCAGGAAACAGCATGGAAGTGCTACATTTCTCCCACTGAGGTGGCTGAAAAGATCAGAGTAACTTTGCACAGGCTGATGAAGCCACATGAATATGAAGTGGTAGAATTGAATTCAGTGTTGTTTTTATAAGATTGACACGTCTTAAATCTGATTTGATGAGCACTGCAGAAACTCTGTCACAGCATATTACAGTTCACACACATCATACAGCTTCTTTTCATTGATTTAATCTGCTATCTCTGCCATAAATTATTTAAATACTTCACAGTGAACTGTTCATGTCTCACTCTCTGAAATTATGCCATTTTCTATTTCTCTGTGTTTTTCACTCCCAATCGATGTCGTTCTACTTTTGGCTTTTGCATGGCCTGGGCTTCCATTCGTACTTTATCAAATCACCTTGCATGCACGTTTTGGGCTTTTTATTTTGGGCTTCTCTCTTTTTGTTTTGGTTGTATTGCACTTTGCATGGCTCCTGGCTTTTTGCTCCCTACCCACCTTGTCCCAACCTCCCATCTCCCTTTTTACTCTTTTTTTAATCTCCCCAAAACCTTCTCCTTCCACTCCTTCCACTGGCCCAACCTTCTTCTGCTCCTCTTTTTTTTTTATTTCTAATGCCCTTTCTTACATTGCCTCCTCTTCCTTTGAACTATTCCTTAATTAATTCCCTCCTCCCAGTTCCATTGCTGTTTTGACTCCAGTTCGCATTTCCTCCCCCACTCTCTCCTCTCACAACTCCAGTGAGACAGGAAATCTTCTGATCCTGGCTGATGGCATGGTGGTCGAGCATCCTGAGGACTTCTATCGCATGCAGGTCAGTAGTACCCCATTCTACCCTGCTCCTTAAGAAACACAAGGTTATCACATCAAAATCTGATATTCATGTAAATTTCCTTATCTTAACAAGATGGACTGATACACAAATATGTGCAAAATATCACTATTAGTTATACAACTATAAGTATCACTATTAGTTAAATGAAACATCTACAAACTTAGTCTTTTTTTTTTACTGTGTTATCGCAATTTTTGTTAAATAAAGAATCATCCATTTTAGGTATTAACTACTATTTATTATCAGGGATGTGACTACCAATGGAAGCTTTTACGAGAATTAGCCAAATTATGACCAATTTGTCTAAATGAGTTTATTTCAGTGCTGCAAAAATAATTACATAAGGCCTCTTTCCACACTCCTGAGCTCCATCATTAGAGTTGTATCAGTGGAATTTAAATGAACTCACCAAGGCACTTTCTCACTGCAGGCAAGCCCCTCCTCGTCCAGTCTTAGCTCCACCCACTCCGCACCCTCACAGATGATAAACACCATCCCCTCGGCTATTAGAGGTGAGCCTTAGATGCAGCATCACAGGAGGCACAAACCATTTCCCATGAGTTTTTGTCCTTTTTACATGCATTTGTGAGTATTTGATGCTCACGTTTCTGTTTCTTTAAACACGTTATCTCCTGTCTGCACCCTCGCAGTCGGCTCTCCTTCTCTGCCGGACAAATACAGACACAACAGAGAAATGCTGATGCTGCTGCCGCCACACAGAGAGCGGCCGAGCAGTGCCATGTACTCCAACATCACTGAGAATGGACAGGTACGGAGAGACGGATGGGGGGAGTCATTCTGATTTGGTCTAAAAGAATGCAAAGACGCCACATGCCTGATTAAAACAGCTCCAAACATCTTCAACTCATCTCATCAAGCGGTCACTTTAAAATGAAGCCATCAGCTCAGTGACAGGAAAGTACACTGTAAGCAACATTGTACTTATTTCAGACCACTTTTTCTTCCAATAAAGATGGATTTAACCCTGAACATCCTTAAGGCCGTGAATCAGGTCACATGGTGTGATCTTTACGCTTCAGTTTGAGAGCCTTCACCTCTCCGGCAGGTTGACGAGCCGCATGAAATATGTGGATTATCGTCCTTTTCATTGGTGTTTCTCTGTGTCCAGCTGCCAAACTTCCAGCGGGCTTTGTTCCATCAGGTGATCGGTCCATGCAAACCCTGCAGTGACCCCAACCTCTCTGTGGCAGAGAAAGGTGAGCGATACCACCCACACGCACCGGCACGGTAATGGCTCAGTCTAACCGGACGCATGTGTAACTGGACGCTTCCTCTCTCCTCAGTCCTCACCACTCCAAGCAGCTGGAGTTTGGACAGCGGAACCAGAGAAGCTCTCCCATTCCTCTCCTCTCACGTAGGCAGTGTCATGGCCCCCCCGGTTCCACCACGCAACACACCTCACGGTATGACGCTGCGGCTTCATCTGTGCCCGCGTGTTAGGTAGCTGCTCTTGTGGGGGTGGACTTCAGACCGTGTTGGCACCCGCAGAGGGGCTTTCTCTGCGTTTAAAGTAGATGCTTGTGTGCGTCTTTCTTGTGGGCTGTTTCGGTGGCTGTGTGACACAAAGACCACACAGGAGCTGAGAGTCAAGCTGGCCTTTGTTCATGTGTGCAATTCTGTTGAAAAGAATCTTCAAGGAAAACCCAAAATGCTCACCGGAAATTTGTTTTTTCAGCTGTTGGTGTTGGGTGATCTTGCCTCTTTTTATTCTACTGTTTATGGATCACAGATTTGAGGAGCACCAATGAGCTTTGAGAGGCTCTGTGAAGTAGAGCCCTCTTTATTACAACGGTTTATAAATGAATTATTTTGTGCTTCTTATACTGGAAGGACTTCGCCGTCTGAAGAGCAAAGCAGCATTTTGTGAGCACTGAATATTACCCAGTGTCAGAAAAAAACTATTCGGAATGAAGATCTTTGTCTTATAAAATTAAAGCTTAAAGCAGAGATACTAAAATAAGTGTTACAGTTTAAAGTGGTCAGACATTCACATTAATCCCGTTCACGACTCCTCTTTTTCAGAAAGTAGTTTTAATGTAATCTTTCCTTCCAGAGATTATTGATTTAGACTTAAAGAGTTTGATTTCATAAAAGTATGTTGTCAAAGACATTTTTTTTCAGTATGGAAGCATTTCAAACAAATCTCCGCAGACCTTTAGAAAGAAGCACTTTCCCCTCCTCCATCAAACACAATCCTCCACCTCTCTGGCCCTTTTTCACTTCCTCCCTCGTCTCCACTGCACTCCTTTCCCTCCTCTGACTCTCTTCTGTCTCCTCTTTCATCGGGCACTCCCCCTTCCCCTCTCAGTTCTGAGGTGTGTGTGAGTGTGAATATCTCTCAGTTGGTCCTGCTGTGTCTTCCCTGTAGGGCAACACCTGTCGATGCACTTTGACGCTTTCCACCACCAGATCAGCGAACTCCCTCCAGCTCTCCCTGCGCGCTCCTTAAGAAAGGTATCCTCCTCCTCCTCCTCCTCCCAACCCTGCTGTTAGTCTGGATGCTTGATTGTCTGTCTGCGCTCCTAAAAAAAAGACAGTTACTCTCTCCTGTGACATCTGGGTGATCTTCTCTGTGACTTTTTGTGCTTTTGTGACACACGTCTTGGGTCTTAATGTGAAGCGTTGTATGTTTCCACAACTGTCTCTGACTCAAACCATCACAAACTAAAAGATTTCTCTCAGAAGTAACTGAACAAATGTGAGGCATCTGTGTGAACCGAAAATAGATTAAGTTTAAATTCAATTGTGACTGAAATCAACAAATTTTTCTGTTTTTTGAACATTTTGCTGCTCAGTATCAGTTTCCATTTGATTTTTTCTTACCTCTGTGGACAGTTTGACTCATGAAAAAGTCGACTTATTTTGTTTTTTTTCTAATATTACTTTTTTTTCATGCAAAGAGGTTTAAGATTCAGAGACAGACCACTTCTCCTCAGATTACGTTTCTGAAAGAAAATTTTCACCTCTTTCTCTGGGTGCCGGTCGGATCCTTATTCTGTTGTTTGATGCCTAAAACAGAAGGAAATGGGCCTGGATATCCATGTGTTTCCGTTTGAATCAAAGCTACTCAAGTGAATAAAAAAGAATTGAGTTATTCTTATAATTGATATAACATTTTATCGCTTTCACCCACCATCATCCCTGAATTCATAATGTCATATTATTATGCAGGTTTTAAATGGAACCCCCTCCTCCTAATAATCAATCGAAAATCATTTTAGATATGAGTAGTTACCATACTTTACATCGTATAAATATGCCAATGTATTTATCACAAATTTGTGGTATGTTACACAGCTGTTGATGCGTCAGCATACAGGACTGTTTTCATAATGGTTGAGCACTCACTTTAACCCTCCTCCTCCTCTCTCTCTCACTAGTCCCCCCTGCACCCTATACCTGCCTCGCCCACCAGTCCACAGTCCATCCTGGATGGCAGTAACTCTACACTGTCGGGCAGTGCCAGCTCTGGGGTCTCCTCCCTCAGTGAGAGCAACTTTGGCGGCCCCGCCTCATCCTGCGACCCCCCAGCCAGCCGCACAGACACCTTGGAGTCTGTCCCCAGCAGCCAGGCCTGGACCACCGACCAGGAAGACCTGGACTCCCCTTACCAACCGGTCAGGTACAGCATGTCTGAGCCTGACGTCCTCGATGGAGTCAAGCCCCCCCCCTGCCGCAGCAACTCCGCCCCGGGCGGCGTCAATCCAGCCCAGATGGGGGGCCAAATCCAGCCTCAGGCTTCGTCTCTGGCCTCCACTGGAGCTCATCAGCACCAGCAGCCAGAGGGGCCTCCACACCCCCAACACCACTTCTACCACCACCACTTCCACCCACACTACCTCCCCCACCACCCGCCCCTCTACCACCTCCATGAGCCCCCTCCAGCCCTGCCCCCTAAACCCTACCTCAGAGAGGGCTGCATCCCTGAGGAGGACCCCCTGATGAGCCAGTCTGGACCACCGGCCCCCCCCGCTCCGCGGCCAATGCCGCGCAAGATCTCCCAGCCCTTGATCGCTGCGACCAAGGACGAACAGGCCAAGGTGGCGTGGGAGCACGGCATCGGGGAGTGAACTGCTGTCAGCCGATGTCTGTAGACGCAGAACACAAACTCTTTTCTAAAAAGAAGAACGAGAGCAAAAAGCCAAACTGGGTCATGGAGCAGCGGGCAGATTCCTCTCAGACGTCCTGCAGAAACCTGTGAAGGCAAAGGCTGTGAAGTTTAAGGTTCAGATGAGCTGCTTTGTCTCACTTTACGTCCTCTGCAAAGCAGAAAAGCATCCCCATGTAAACGTTTCTCCTCGTGTCGCTGCACCCATGTGTGAGCATCAAGCTGGTTCGATTGGTTAGAGTCAGGAAAATTGTAGCTTTCTTTCAGCATCCATTATAACTGAACATCTTTCAATTCTGACGCGTCCTGACATTGCACAGATCTCATGTTACAGAGATCATAGTTAATGATTTCTTTTGCATGAATAACACTATATATAAAATCATATATTCAGGGTTCTTTAAGTTTTTGCACAGAAATCATTCTCTGTTGATACCTCGCCCTGAAGGTTTAAGAAAAATGGCACTTTAACAAAGCAACACAGCACCAAAACACGTAAGAATAGGAATTCTACTCCTCTCATATTTATTTAAATATCCTGAAATATATTATAATGCAGAGTGATCAGCAGACAAGTGGCTCTGCTGAGGATTATTTTTAGATGATACAAACACGATTATGCTAAATGAATTAAAAAGCAAAAAACAAAAGAGAATAAATATTTTCCCCTCACATCACACATAACTAAATTTCACACCGTTTCAAAAAGCATCTACAAAAATCCTCAATTCTTCGTGAAAAAAGGTGCCTAAGAAGTATCTTTCCGACAACAAATACAGATTAATATTATACATTACCTAAAGTTATATGAATATGATTATATTTAGTGCATACAATTTTAACTGAAGGTGAAATTGTGTAGAAATATGCAAGTGTGTGGCTTCTGAGGGCGGCAGAGGCTGCTTGATGACATACAACGTGCTTTTGTTGAAAAAGGGAGAATTCCTGGCACACAAACACTGGAAAGTTTAAATGTTGCAGCATCAGGGATGAAAATGTGATTTTACTAAAGGTTGTGATGACGCAATGAGTCTTTTGGGTTTTTTTAGCTGATAATGTGTTCAAAGGTTGAACTTGTAAATATGCACATTGAATCATGTGCAAATAAGGAATTTATAGAGAAAAATTAATAATAAATAGACACTTTTGCCATTTTTATGAGAGTAATGACCTGTATTGACTAAAGGTTTTTTTAATCAGGGTACTGTTTGTATGCATGTTTGTTCAATGAGTTTAAGCCTGTACAGAGACTGTGAGGATCCACAAAAGGTGAAATACTGGAAACACTGAGGAAATATTGTACCGTGCACTGATGTTCTGAGAGTTTAGGAGAAGCAGCTTAAGTCTAACAGGATGTTAAATCAGCAACATTTCTCCCATGGCTAACTTTTTGTTTGTTTTTAAAATGTCAAACTTGTAACCACCAGCTTGGGGTGTGTGCTGGAACAGTCTGGTTTCAGTGGACAGTTCTGATAAGCTCAACAGGTTTGTACCTGTAGCTGTCCCACCTGGTTTCTATCATAGATAGAAGAAATGCTTTTTTTCTTCCACCTAATGCTGAATCCTTTTCCCACCAGTACAGGAGGCTGCCGTGTGAGTTTCCCTTTAGTCATACCTTGGTTGATAGAGCCTCAGAGTTCTCGGTTTGTTGCAGGCTGCAGATGATCTGTGTTTCTCTGCATTGTTGCTTATTTTGACTCAGGGTCTGGTAAAATAGTCCCCTACTTCTTTTTCACCCCATCACCCAAGTTTGTGTTTCTGAGTATAATTCAAGTACGTTTGATCTCCTGCAGTAGGTGTCCAGCTGGAATGTGAAACTAAAACTTATCAAATTCCCTACAAAAAGTTCTTTATGTGCTTCATTCAATACAAACTTGTTGTGTTGTTACACAGACACTTAGCAGAAGGCTGTGAATTTGAAAGAATATGACTTGATCATCAAGGGCTGTGAAAAGGCACAGAAGGCCCTGTGGAGCTTAGAAAGGTGTGTGGTCAAAGACCTGTGGGAAATGATGACCTCTTATCATTATTAGAGCCTTACCATCTGTTTCCTGAGGGTAATGAATTAATAAATTAAGTTTAGCTCTATTTTTTTGTTTAAATCACTGAGAACATTTGACCAACTCTCATCATGGCTGCTGCTCAGCTACTTCCAGGCTGTTTAACTCCATTAGGAACTTTCTTAGGACTAAAGATTATTTTACTGGACCCTCAGACCCGTCCTGTTTCTGCTGTAAATACTCTGTTCTCACAATCCCTCCCAGAAAGCAGACTCTTCCTTTTTAGAGGTTTGGAAACTGTAACACAGACAAACTGTTCCGTCAGGTTCTTGAAAAACCATCATTTACTGTTTTTTTTCTCACTTTTGCTCTTTATCTGTTTTTTTTCCTGCATTGGATGCTGATATTTTAACAGCTTCTGCACATGATCAATGGAATGCAGCCCTCGTTAAGAAACCATCCGTTTCACCTGTGTGTCTTTCCTTACGTTTGAGTTCTGCAACACAAAACAAGCCGCCTGCTTTATTTAGCTTAGAAATAACTGATTCCATGACAATTTCATGAACTGTAACGAATAATCTACTTTTACGAGAGATGATTTGTCAATGAAAGGAGCTCTGCTGCTGGTGAGTCATTCAAAATGCAGATTTTAGTGGATTTTTGTTAGGAAGTAGTGCAGAAGCTGCTCTGTGTTTAGCATTTCTTTTACATGATGGGATGTGGTTTTCATCCTGAAGAAAATAGTTCATGCTCAACTTTCTTTCTTCATCATTTTTTTCCATCAGTCATGTTTTACACCTTTTTTATTACTCTGAAATCGCTCCGCAGTTAACTTATGTCTCATGGGGCATCATCCATTTATAGGGAAATTAAATTTTTTAAACACATTTATCTTAAAGTGATGTTTTCTTCTTATTAGTCACCAAGTTTTCTCATTTTTTCCATATCCCTTATGTGATCACAGCAGGTTGAAACATTTCTCTGTGGTGACATCATGGAGGGATGTAATGCAGTTTTCATTCACACAGAAGCATTTTCCTGTCACGTTAACTATCTGTCATACTTTTAATCCTTCAAATGAACATTAAAAAAGGTGTTTTATTGCAGTTGTTATTGACTCTCTTAATTCAGAGAGGCTGAAAGGATTGTTTATTATGGTAACTTGAAGTCAGATGAGTAGTTTATGTGTAAAACGCACTGCGTGTTTCCTCATGTCTGAATCAGATACTTCAGAACAGGCCTCGCTGTAGTTGTAATGGTCCTGTTGGCAGTAAAATGCATCTGTTTCTTGCTTTGTCTGGAGCGCCGTGGTCTCGGGGTGCACAGAAAAGCTGTCCGGCAGGTTGGTGTTTTTCCAGCGATCGCAAGCAATTACAAAACCAGCTTTGCAATAATGAACGCAGCTCAGGCTGTGCTGCCGCACTAGTGCGGGTTTAACTTGTTCTAATGAATTGTAATTTATTTAAAATATTGTATGGCACAGAATGAGAGGAAACTGCTCACTAAGGTTATATCCTAGACTACACTTCAGTCAGATTTGATCAGACAT